TAACTAGGTAACATACCCATATAACTAGGTAACAGACCCATATAACTAGGTAACAGACCCATATAACTATGTAACAGACCCATATATCTAGGTAACAGACCAATATAACTAGATAACAGACCCATATATCTAGGTAACAGACCCATATAACTAGATAACAGACCCATATATCTAGGTAACAGACCCATATAACTAGGTAACAGACCCATATATCTAGGTAACAGACCAATATAACTAGATAACAGACCCATATATCTAGGTAACAGACCCATATAACTAGATAACAGACCCATATATCTAGGTAACAGACCCATATAACTAGATAACAGACCCATATATCTAGGTAACAGACCCATATAACTAGATAACATACCCATATAACTAGGTAACAGACCCATATAGCTAGGTAACATACCCATATATCTAGGTAACAGACCCAATAACTAGGTAACAGACCCATATAGCTAGGTAACATACCCATATATCTAGGTAACAGACCCATATATCTAGGTAACAGACCCAATAACTAGGTAACAGACCCATATATCTAGGTAACAGACCCAATAACTAGGTAACAGACCCATATATCTAGGTAACAGACCCATATATCTAGGTAACAGACCCATATATCTAGGTAACAAACCTATATAACTAAGTAATAACAAACCCATAACTAGGTAATCAATTATATATACACAAATCTCTTCAGTTACGGATCAAGTCACTCATCATATTTCTAACTTGTCTTGTCCACCAGTCCCTCAGATCTGCAATACTAAATATCAAGAAACATTTTCTTATAGGCCATTGTGAACTGGTGGAGCTGCCAGGGTGTAACCTGACACCACTGGAGGTTTTGATGGCATCAAGAAATTCCTGCAGATGGTCCAGGCTGAGATGGTGGGTCAGGAGGTGGGGTAGCTGGGACTGGGACTGGGGCTGGGACTGGGACTGGGACTGGGACTGGACTGGGCTGGGACTGGACTGGGACTGGGGCTGGGCTGGGACTGGGGCTGGGGCTGGGGCTGGGCTGGGACTGGGGCTGGGGCTGGGGCTGGGGCTGGGACTGGGCTGGGACTGGGACTGGGCTGGGACTGGGCTGGGACTGGGGCTGGGGCTGGGGCTGGGCTGGGACTGGGACTGGAGCAGGCTGGGACTGGAGCTGGGGTGTAGCAGGCTGGAGCTGGGACTGGGACTGGTTTGGGCTTGACGAGCCGTTCGTACAGAGTCTGGAGGCTCCTGATGGCCACCAGAGCTCTGAAGTACGGCGTTTTCATCTGGCCGGAGGTGAGCGGTGCACCGCCTGTCTCTCTCAGGGCGGAGACATAGTAATAGGCCTCGGACAGGAAGCCCATCGTGGAGGTCTCGTTGGTGGGTGTCAGCGGCACTCAAGATGTCCGTCAGCGTGGTGAAGACCTCAAGGAACCTGCCGGTGTGTTCGCTGTCTGCGAAAGCCTGCAGCTTCAGCTGGTCCCTGTAGAAGCGGAGGGAAAGAGCTGTGGTGGCGCCGAGGGGTGATTCGATGATGGAATCCACAAAACGCTGGTCTCTGGATGCCCTGGCAGACAGTCCAAACAGTCGAGGCTTGGGACTGTCCTTGTTTTGGTTCAGGGTCTGGAGGGCTTCCAGGTACTGTCCTTGTTTTGGTTCAGGGTCTGGAGGGCTTCCAGGTGCTGTCCTTGTTTTGGTTCAGGGTCTGGAGGGCTTCCAGGTACTGTCCTTGTTTTGGTTCAGGGTCTGGAGGGCTTCCAGGTACTGTCCTTGTTTTGGTTCAGGGTCTGGAGGGCTTCCAGGGTCTGGAGGGCTTCCAGGTACTGTCCTTGTTTTGGTTCAGGGTCTGGAGGGCTTCCAGGTGCTGTCCTTGTTTTGGTTCAGGGTCTGGAGGGCTTCCAGGTACTGTCCTTGTTTTGGTTCAGGGTCTGGAGGGCTTCCAGGTGCTGTCCTTGTTTTGGTTCAGGGTCTGGAGGGCTTCCAGGTACTGTCCTTGTTTTGGTTCAGGGTCTGGAGGGCTTCCAGGTACTGTCCTTGTTTTGGTTCAGGGTCTGGAGGGCTTCCAGGTACTGTCCTTGTTTTGGTTCAGGGTCTGGAGGGCTTCCAGGTACTGTCCTTGTTTTGGTTCAGGGTCTGGAGGGCTTCCAGGTGCTGTCCTTGTTTTGGTTCAGGGTCTGGAGGGCTTCCAGGTACTGTCCTTGTTTTGGTTCAGGGTCTGGAGGGCTTCCAGGTACTGTCCTTGTTTTGGTTCAGGGTCTGGAGGGCTTCCAGGTACTGTCCTTGTTTTGGTTCAGGGTCTGGAGGGCTTCCAGGTACTGTCCTTGTTTTGGTTCAGGGTCTGGAGGGCTTCCAGGTACTGTCCTTGTTTTGGTTCAGGGTCTGGAGGGCTTCCAGGTGCTGTCCTTGTTTTGGTTCAGGGTCTGGAGGGCTTCCAGGTGCTGTCCTTGTTTTGGTTCAGGGTCTGGAGGGCTTCCAGGTGCTGCCAGATTGCCATAGTCCCTTCTCCATCCACCATCATTTGGAAGACACCCGGGAGATCTTCAGCAGCCTGGACATCTCGTGCATATCCACCAGGACCTGGATCCTCCTGTCCGGGAGAGCCGGGTCAGGGAGAGCCGGGTCCAGGTTGGAGGGATCTGAAACATCCATCTTGGCTCCAAGCTCTTTCAGAACACGGACGTTGGTCGCTGAACATCCGCCCAATGTAATGGCTGCGACCTCCGCTTCCATGTCATCCAGCTTTTATTTTTTTAATTTTTTTTATTTAACCTTTATTTAACTAGGCAAGTCAGTTAAGAACAAATTCATATTTACAATGACGGCCTACCAAAAGGCAAAAGGCCTCCTGCGGGGACGGGGGCTGGGATTAAAAATACAAATATAGGACAAAACACACATCACTGTGATGAAGGAGTCAGGCGCAGGAGGGTAAATCACAGAACAACAGGCTTTAATCCGCAAAATACAGGTTTACGCAGAAATGCGTCAAACACACTCCAGGGCACAAAACAGGCGCACTGGAAAATACAAGGCACACGGGAAAATACTCCCGTCGATACAAAATACACGAGCTCCACCGAGCTTCACTAACCTCCACAATAAACAATCACCCCACACAGACAAGGAAGCAGAGGGAACACTTATACCATGACTAATGAGGGAATAAGGACCAGGTGTGTGTGATTGAAGACAAGACAAATGGAGTGATGATAAATGGATCGGCAGTAGCTAGTAAGCCGGTGACGCCGAACGCCGAAACCTGCCCGAACAAGGAGGGGAGGCAGCCAATCACGACAAGAGAGACACCACAACACTACATAAAGAGAGACACCACAACACTACATAAAGAGAGACACCACAACACTACATAAAGAGACACCACAACACTACATAAAGAGACACCACAACACTACATAAAGAGAGACGCCACAACACTACATAAAGAGAGACGCCACAACACTACATAAAGAGAGACGCCACAACACTACATAAAGAGAGACGCCACAACACTACATAAAGAGAGACACCACAACACTACATAAAGAGAGACGCCACAACACTACATAAAGAGAGACGCCACAACACTACATAAAGAGAGACGCCACAACACTACATAAGAGAGACCCAACTACATAAAGAGAGACGCCAGAACACTACATAAAGAGAGACACCACAAACACTACATAAAGAGAGACACCACAACACTACATAAAGAGAGACACCACAACACTACATAAAGAGAGACACCACAACACTACATAAAGAGAGACACCACAACACTACATAAAGAGAGACACCACAACACTACATAAAGAGAGACGCCACAACACTACATAAAGAGACACCACAACACTACATAAAGAGAGACGCCACAACACTACATAAAGAGACACCACAACACTACATAAAGAGAGACGCCACAACACTACATAAAGAGAGACACCACAACACTACATAAAGAGAGATACCACAACACTACATAAAGAGAGACACCACAACACTACATAAAGAGAGACACCACAACACTACATAAAGAGAGACACCACAACACTACATAAAGAGAGACACCACAACACTACATAAAGAGAGACCACAACACTACATAAAGAGAGACCTAAGACAACAACATAGCATGGCAGCAACACATGACAACACAGCATGGTAGCAACACCACATGACAACAACATGGCAGCAATACAACATGGCAGCAGTACAAAACATGGTACAAACATTATTGGTCACAGACAACAGCACAAAGGGCAAGAAGGTAGAGACAACAATACGTCACACGAAGCAGCCACAACTGGCAGTAAGAGTGTCCATGATTGAGTCTTTAAATGAAGAGATGGAGATAAAACTGTCCAGTTTGAGTGTTTTTTGCAGCTCGTTCCAGTCGCTAGCTGCAGCGAACTGAAAAGAGGAGCGACCCAGGGATGTGTGTGCTTTGGGGACCTTTAACAGAATGTGACTGGCAGAACGGGTGTTGTATGTGGAGGATGAGGACTGCAGTAGGTATCTCAGATAGGGGGGAGTGAGGCCTAAGAGGGTTTTATAAATAAGCATCAACCAGTGGGTCTTGCGACGGGTATACAGAGATGACCAGTTTACAGAGGAGTATAGAGTGCAGTGATGTGTCCTATAAGGAGCATTGGTGGCAGGTAGCTGAGTGGTTAAGAGCGTTGTGCCAGTAACCGAAAGGTCGCTGGTTCCAATCCCCGAGCCGACTAGGTGAAAAATCAGTCGATGTGCCCTTGAGCAAGGCACTTAACCCTAATTGCTCCTGTAAGTCGCTCTGGACAAGAGCGTCTGCTAAATGACTAAAATGTAAATGTAATTGAAGGAAGAGACGCACCAGGTTGACAGGGAACATCACTTTAACATCGTCATGTAAGCTCACCAGCATGAATGTGACCATGTCTCTGGCCATCAGCAAGGTCTCGTCCAGCTCCATCCCAGCACAACTCCCTCATCCCCGTAACACTCCTCCTCCTGGATGTCCGGTTCCCCCATTAGAAGGGCTCTCTGCCCTCTCCCTTCTCCTCATTCACCTTAGCCACCTTAGCCTCCAGCGACTCCAGCACAGTGTGGTTGAAACCAGGGCTGCCGTTAGTGACACCGAACCATCTCCTGATGGTGGCTTGGTCTGGCAGCCGCAGGGCGAAGGTGTGACGGATGTAGCCGTAGACTTGGGCGGAAGGTGAAGGTCCTTATGGCACTGCTCTCTGCTTGGATCACATTTTAAAGGACTCAACTTTCATAAAGTCAGTATACATACTTTACCTGTTTTTTTCCACCTTCTCGACAATGCTTTTGCAGCCCGAATGGAGAATGTTTTATGTATAGACGGCTGCAACAATGCCTTTCGACTTAAAGATTAAAAGTCTCAATATTGCCGTCTGCCGGCCTAGGCTTTGGGCTAAATAATGCCAATGCTAACTAATGTTAGCTAGCTAATTTACTGGCTAGCTAGCCAGGCCAGTTTTAGCTAGCTACATGAGAAAACGTGAGGAGAATAGGACTGCTTGCTGGGTGTAGTGTACGGCAGTTTGATTAGCTAGGTTAATTGACTTTACAATTTGCTGGCAAGCTACTCATGGTAGAACCAAGCTACTCATGGTAGAACCAAGCTACTCATGGTAGAACCAGCATGGCAATTAGTCACGGATCTTGGAGCGGCATGCCACCATCATCTGTTGTATTGGCCCCGTGTAGCTCAGTTGGTAGAGCATGGCGCTTGCAACGGCAGGGTTGTGGGTTCGATTCCCACGGGGGGCCAGTATGAAAAAAATAATAATTTATGCATTCACTAACTGTAAAGTCGCTCTGGATAAGAGCGTCTGCTAAATGACGTAAATGTATTGAATGATGTTTGTCGTTAGCAATGACTGTAAGCAAGAGCAAAAATTACTGATTTGACAAATTTGTTTAAAAGTATATAGCTAGCTAGCTATATGTATTGATTTGAACGCATAGCCCCCTGATCAGATTTGATCAAAGATGATCTGTTTAGCACAGTTTTCTACTCAAACTCAAATTCTTCTTCTTCTTCTATGATAAAATGGCGGTCCGCAAACAAACGTTAAAGGTGCATGCCGCCACCGACTGTGCTGGAGTGTGTGGTCTGCACCCCAGACCCCTCCCCTGCACCCCAGACCCCTCCCTCAAATCCCCAAACCCCTCCCCTGCACCTCAGACCCCTCCCCAAACCCCTCCCCTGCACCCCAGACCCCTCCCTCAAACCCCAAACCCCTCCCCTGCACCCCAGACCCCTCCCTCAAAATATATAAGGAGATGTGGTATATTACCTGTAGAATATATAAGGAGATGTGGTATATTACCTGTAATATATAAGGAGATGTGGTATATTACCTGTAATATATAAGGAGATGTGGTATATTACCTGTAATATATAAGGAGATGTGGTATATTACCTGTAATATATAAGGAGATGTGGTATATTACCTGTAATATATAAGGAGATGTGGTATATTACCTGTAATATATAAGGAGATGTGGTATATTACCTGTAATATATAAGGAGATGTGGTATATTACCTGTAATATATAAGGAGATGTGGTATATTACCTGTAATATATAAGGATGTGGTAATTACTGTAATATAAGGAGATGTGGTATATTACCTGTAATATATAAGGAGATGTGGTATATTACCTGTAATATATAAGGAGATGTGGTATATTACCTGTAATATATAAGGAGATGTGGTATATTACCTGTAATATATAAGGAGATGTGGTATATTACCTGTAATATATAAGGAGATGTGGTATATTACCTGTAATATATAAGGAGATGTGGTATATTACCTGTAATATATAAGGAGATGTGGTATATTACCTGTAATATATAAGGAGATGTGGTATATTACCTGTAATATATAAGGAGATGTGGTATATTACCTGTAATATATAAGGAGATGTGGTATATTACCTGTAATATATAAGGAGATGTGGTATATTACCTGTAATATATAAGGAGATGTGGTATATTACCTGTAATATATAAGGAGATGTTTATTTGACCCCCTTTCAAACACCCCCTTGTTTACCACTTTCTTGCAGGTATCAAATCAAATGTAATTTGTCACATGCTTCGTAAACAACAGGTGTAGACTAACAGTGAAATGCTTCCGGGTCCTTTTCCAACAATGCACTTTACCCCTACCTACAGGTACATATTACCTCGACTAACCTGTACCCCCACACATTGACTCGGTACCGGTACCCCCTGTATATAGCCTCATTATTGTTATTTTATTGCGTTATTTAAATAAAATAAAATAAATTAACTTTAGTTTATTTAGTAAATATTTTCTTAACTCTTATTTTCCTTAAAACTGCATTGTTGGTTAAGGGCTTGTAAGTAAGCATTTCACTGTAAGGTTGTATTCAGCGCATGTGACAAAAAATTTTTACTTTTTTTTATTGGCATACCCCTTTTATACATACAAGTGGGTAACTGGCAAATTTGGACGGGTGGGAGGTGTTGTGTGTGGTGCATTTCAAGTCATAGAGGTTAAACAATGGAAGTGTTAATGAATTGACCTGCAAAAAAGCAGAGAACCATTCACACAGACCTGATACCTGTATTTTGGTTACAGGGTCTGTGAAAATGCAGGAATCATGACTAGGTCTTTTGGTGGCTTTTATTTAACCATGTTTTTTTTAAAATCCCCTCCCACTTTCAGATATACCAGAAAGCAGGACAAAAGAAGCAGGTCAATGAGTGGAACCTTTGTCTGAAAGGGGTTTTAGTAAAGGTCTGTCTAATGTACGCTCAGGAATACAGGACTGAGAGCTTGTGGCTTCATTGTGTGTCCGTCAGCCTTTCCTCATCTATGTTGAATCGTGTTCACCAGCCTTCACTTCGTCCCTTGTCAATAACCTTGAGCTTTTTGTGGTGTTTAGGTTACATATGCTTTGACCCAGGTTACATATGCTTTGACCCAGGTTACATATGCTTTGACCCAGGTTACATATGCTTTGACCCATGTTACATATGCTTTGACCCATGTTACATATGCTTTGACCCAGGTTACATATGCTTTGACCCAGGTTACATATGCTTTGACCCAGGTTACATATGCTTTGACCCATGTTACATATGCTTTGACCCAGGTTACATATGCTTTGACCCAAACTAAAACCACTGTACTAATGATACTACATTTACCCTATAACCCTAGAGACATGTCCCAATTACCTGTCCTTCATCCCAAAGTGTGCACTTGTTCACTTCTCCTCACTGATTTCAAAGCAAATGACTGGTATCATAAATATGGTGGAAAATCCCACTAGCCGATGCCTCCACCAATACAATGCTTTTAGATTAGTGGGAAGCAGTGAATGATTGTACACTTCAGGAGAAAGGAGATTATTGGGACTCACGCCCTGTTCATCCTCCCCTCCCATCCCAGGTCAGTCCTTCAACAGCTGCATTCTGTGGAAGCACACCAGGGGGCACTACAGCTGTGTCCAGTGTGGTCACTACCCCTAACAGGAAGGAGATGACCGCCCACATCGATGGCCAACAAGAGCCCTGCCACAAAGCCCAGCACTGACAAGTACTAAAACGGCCTTGTTAGCTGGATGATGTTTAGAACAGTGTTTTCTCAATCCCCCCGGGGGTCCTTCAGGAATGGAAGGAGAAACAATTCTGTAAAAACGGTTATCGCCTGATTTCGTTTTCTGCTTTGACCACTGTTGGTGACGCTGGTTGCCATTGTCCCCGTTGGGGCGTTACAGGGGGATAATCTCAATGCATACTCCTCACCTCCTTCTCAAAACTCATTGGAGGAGATGGTCAGAGGGGCGGGACCTCTGGCTTTCTCATCCAATGGGTTTTGAGAAAGCGGTGAGGAGTATGCATTGAGATTATCCCGTAGTCTTTCTCTCACTGAACCCTCTTCTTGATTTCAGATGCCCCCTTTTGGCTCGCTCTCCTCAAAGACCAACGCCTCGTCGGACACAGAGGCTTCCACATACACCCAACTCTGTGTTCGACGTGCAATCCAATGGGAGTGGAGACAGAGAAGTTGAGGATAAATAACTTATTTTTCTACATTGTTATTGGACTCTTAAATAGTATTATATTATAGAAGCTTAATAGAAATGTCAATAGTCAAGAAATCATTTTCAATATTTTCATTTCAATGAACATATTCAAAACAATAATTCGTTCTTTGTAAAATACAATTTGACCAAGGTCAAGTCAGTGTGAAATTGAGTTTAAGTGAGTAATTTCTTCTGCAGAAAATGTGTTTATTGAAAAATAGGGTAAAAAACATGATCGCATACCCTCATAATTAAGGTGGGCTGGGCGAGACCTCCATGTCCAACCAATGGTTCTGTTAGTCAACAAACCACTTTCCATTGCTGATTAACTTGGCATGTGAGATGAACAGAAACAGCTTAACTTGGCATGTGAGATGAACAGAAACAGCTTAACTTGGCATGTGAGATGAACAGAAACTCTAGCTACCGCTGCCATCCAAAAGCTTCAATCTAAGACACGATCAAAATTATTATAAAAACGCCTAGAACTGCAGCAAATAAATATTTAACTTGTCTTGCTCTAGAAGCATAGCAACAGTCTTAAACCTGATAGTAGCAATAACCAAACATACCCCGTCAGTCAACTACCTCTTAATATAAGCAGCATAAGCTGCCGTCAGAAAATAAAAATATTTAAATTGACAAAACATGGTGTTAACTCTTCAAAATGGTCTATTACACAGCAGCTACAGACAAGCCACTGCTCATATCCACCGACTGGGCCCCGTGAGTCTTCAAATGTCTCTTCAGGTGACTGAGGCAGGTGTACGTCTTAGAACAGAGACGACAGGGGTACGGTCTCACCCCAGTGTGATTCAGGATGTGGGTCTTCAACTCCGCACCGCGACGAAATGCCTTTCCACACTCGTGACACACGTAGGGTCGTTCCCCCGTATGTATCCGCATGTGGAGAGTCACCTGACTAGCCATGGTGAAGCCTTTCTCGCAGACGGTGCACTTGTACGGTCTCTCCCCGGTGTGTGTTCTCCTGTGGATCTGTAGCTCTCCCGCAGAGCAGAAAGTCTTGCCGCAGTCGGAGCAGAGGAAAGGTTTCTCCCCTGTGTGTGTTCTGATGTGTATGGTCAGGTTTCCGTTCACAGAGAACCGCTTGGCGCAGTAGGTGCACTGGTATGGCCTCTCGCCGGTGTGGGTCCGCATGTGGAGCTTCAGGTCTCCTTTGCATCTGAAGGCCTTTCCACAACTGGGGCAGATCTTGGACCTCTCTTGGGAGTGACGCTGCTCATGCCCATGTAGCCAGCCCTAAAGGAATTTTATTAGACATATTTAAGCTGAATACAACAGAACACCTGGGAGCTGAATACAACAGAACACCTGGGAGCTGAATACAACAGAACACCTGGGAGCTGAATACAACAGAACACCTGGGAGCTGAATACAACAGAACACCTGGGAGCTGAATACACCAGAATACCTGGGAGCTGAATACAACAGAACACCTGGGAGCTGAATACAACAGAACACCTGGGAGCTGAATACAACAGAACACCTGGGAGCTGAATACAACAGAACACCTGGGAGCTGAATACACCAGAATACCTGGGAGCTGAATACAACAGAACACCTGGGAGCTGAATACAACAGAACACAAGGGAGCTGAATACAACATAACACCTGGGAGCTGAATACAACAGAACACCTGGGAGCTGAATACAACAGAACACCTGGGAGCTGAATACAACAGAACACCTGGGAGCTGAATACAACAGAACACCTGGGAGCTGAATACAACAGAACACCTGGGAGCTGAATACAACAGAACACCTGGGAGCTGAATACAACAGAACACCTGGGAGCTGAATACAACAGAACACCTGGGAGCTGAATACAACAGAACACCTGGGAGCTGAATACAACAGAACACCTGGGAGCTGAATACAACAGAACACCTGGGAGCTGAATACAACAGAACACCTGGGAGCTGAATACACCAGAATACCTGGGAGCTGAATACAACAGAACACCTGGGAGCTGAATACAACAGAACACCAGGGAGCTGAATACAACAGAACACCTGGGAGCTGAATACAACAGAACACCTGGGAGCTGAATACAACAGAACACCTGGGAGCTGAATACAACAGAACACCTGGGAGCTGAATACAACAGAACACCTGGGAGCTGAATACAACAGAACACCTGGGAGCTGAATACAACGAACACCTGGGAGCTGAATACAACAGAACACCTGGGAGCTGAATACAACAGAACACCTGGGAGCTGAATACAACAGAACACCTGGGAGCTGAATACAACAGAACACCTGGGAGCTGAATACAACAGAACACCTGGGAGCTGAATACACAGAACACCTGGGAGCTGAATACAACAGAACACCTGGGAGCTGAATACAACAGAACACCTGGGAGCTGAATACAACAGAACACCTGGGAGCTGAATACAACAGAACACCTGGGAGCTGAATACAACAGAACACCTGGGAGCTGAATACAACAGAACACCTGGGAGCTGAATACAACAGAACACCTGGGAGCTGAATACAACAGAACACCTGGGAGCTGAATACAACAGAATACCTGGGAGCTGAAGCACTTTCCACACTGTTCACACTTGTAGGGCTTCTCTTCTCCGTCATGGGCCTTCTGGTGGGCCCTCAGCTCGGCGACGCCCGGGAACGGCCCCTCACCACAGTACCTGACAATACACAGGATAGCACTTTATATAAGGTAGCCTTTATTGCCTGAGTCCCAAATGCCTCCCTGTTCCCTTATATAGTGCACTACTGTAGACCAGGGCCAATAAGGGATAGGCTGCCATTTGGGACACAGATTTCTGCTTTTCCCTTACAGGACATTAAATACAAAACATTATTTCCCTCATGAGTCACCAATCATGAATCACAGTGTGAGTCACCAATCATGAATCACAGTGTGAGTCACCAATCATGAATCACAGTGTGAGTCACCAATCATGAATCACAGTGTGAGTCACCAATCATGAATCACAGTGTGAGTCACCAATCATGAATCACAGTGTGAGTCACCAATCATGAATCACAGTGTGAGTCACCAATCATGAATCACAGTGTGAGTCACCAATCATGAATCACAGTGTGAGTCACCAATCATGAATCACAGGGTGAGTCACCAATCATGAATCACAGTGTGAGTCACCAATCATGAATCACAGTGTGAGTCACCAATCATGAATCACAGTGTGAGTCACCAATCATGAATCACAGTGTGAGTCACCAATCATGAATCAGTGTGAGTCCCAAATGCCTCCCTGTTCCCTACATAGTGCACTACTTTCGACCGAATCCCTGTGGGCCCTGGTCAAAAGTATACTGAACAAAAATATAAACGCAACACCTCAATTACCTCGACTAACCTGTGCCCCCGCACATTGACTCTGTCCGGTACCCCCTGTATATAGCCTCCCTACTGTTATTTCCCATTGACTCTGTACCGGTACCCCTACTGTTATTTCACATTGACTCTGTACCGGTACCCCTGTATATAGCCTCCCTACTGTTATTTCCATTGACTCTGTACCGGTACCCCTGTATATAGCCTCCCTACTGTTATTCCCATTGACTCTGTACCGGTACCCACCTGTATTAGCCTCCCAACTGTATTTCCCATTGACTCTGTACCGGTACCCCTGTAATAGCCTCCCTACTGTATTTCCCATTGACTCTGTACCGGTACCCCTCTGTATATAGCCTCCCTACTGTTATTTCCCATTGACTCTGTACCTGTACCCCCTGTATATAGCCTCCCTACTGTTATTACACATTGACTCTGTCCCGGTACCCCCTGTTATATGCCTCCCTACTGTTATTTCCCATTGACTCTGTACCGGTACCCCCTGTATATAGCCTCCCTACTGTTATTTCCCATTGACTCTGTACCGGTACCCCCTGTATATAGCCTCCCTACTGTTATTTCCCATTGACTCTGTACCGGTACCCCCTGTATATAGCCTCCCTACTGTTATTTCCCATTGACTCTGTACCGGTACCCCTGTATATAGCCTCCTACTGTTATTTCCCATTGACTCTGTACGGTACCCCCTGTATATAGCCTCCCTACTGTTATTCCCATTGACTCTGTACCGGTACCCCCTGTATATAGCCTCCCTACTGTTATTTCCCATTGACTCTGTAACGGTACCCCCCTGTATATAGCCTCCCTACTGTTATTTCCCATTGACTCTGTACCGGTACCCCCTGTATATAGCCTCCCTACAGTTATTTCCCATTGACTCTGTACCGGTACCCCCTGTATATAGCCTCCCTACTGTTATTACACATTGACTCTGTACCGGTACCCCCTGTATATAGCCTCCCTACTGTTATTTCCCCATTGACTCTGTACCGGTACCCCCTGTATATAGCCTCCTACTGTTATTACACATTGACTCTGTCCCGGTACCCCCTTGTATATAGCCTCCCTACTGTTATTTCCCATTGACTCTGTACCGGTACCCCCTGTATATAGCCTCCCTACTGTTATTTCCCATTGACTCTGTACCGGTACCCCCTGTATATAGCCTCCCTACTGTTATTTCCCATTGACTCTGTACCGGTACCCCCTGTATATAGCCTCCCTACTGTTATTTCCCATTGACTCTGTACCGGTACCCCCTGTATATAGCCTCCCTACTGTTATTTCCCATTGACTCTGTACCGGTACCCCCTGTATATAGCCTCCCTACTGTTATTTCCCATTGACTCTGTAACGGTACCCCCTGTATATAGCCTCCCTACTGTTATTTCCCATTGACTCTGTACCGGTACCCCCTGTATATAGCCTCCCTACTGTTATTTCCCATTGACTCTGTAACGGTACCCCCTGTATATAGCCTCCCTACTGTTATTTCCCATTGACTCTGTACCGGTACCCCCCTGTATATAGCCTCCCTACAGTTATTTCCCATTGACTCTGTACCGGTACCCCCCTGTATATAGCCTCCCTACTGTTATTACACATTGACTCTGTACCGGTACCCCCTGTATATAGCCTCCCTACTGTTATTTCCCATTGACTCTGTAACGGTACCCCCTGTATATAGCCTCCCTACTGTTATTTCCCATTGACTCTGTACCGGTACCCCCTGTATATAGCCTCCCTACAGTTATTTCCCATTGACTCTGTACCGGTACCCCCTGTATATAGCCTCTCTACTGTTATTTCCCATTGACTCTGTACCGGTACCCCCTGTATATAGCCTCCCTACTGTTATTTCCCATTGACTCTGTACCGGTACCCCCTGTATATAGCCTCCCTACTGTTATTTCCCATTGACTCTGTACCGGTACCCCCTGTATATAGCCTCCCTACTGTTATTACACATTGACTCTGTACCGGTACCCCCTGTATATAGCCTCCCTACTGTTATTTCACATTGACTCTGTCCCGGTCCCCCCTGTATATAGCTGTATATAGCCTGTATATAGCCTCTGTACCGGTCCCCCCTGTATATAGCTGTATATAGCCTGTATTTAGCCTCTGTACCGGTCCCCCCTGTATATAGCCTGTATATAGCCTCTGTCCCAGTCCCCCCTGTATATAGCCTGTATATAGCCTCTGTCCCAGTCCCCCCTGTATATAGCCTGTATATAGCCTCTGTCCCAGTCCCCCCCCTGTATATAGCCTGTATTAGCCTGTTATATTAGCCTCTGTACCGGTCCCCCCTGTATATAGCCTGTATATAGCCTGTATATAGCCTCTGTACCGGTCCCCCCTGTATATAGCCTGTATATAGCCTCTGTACCGGTCCCCCCTGTATATAGCCTCTGTACCGGTCCCCCCTGTATATAGCCTCTGTACCGGTCCCCCCTGTATATAGCCTCTGTACCGGTCCCCCCTGTATATAGCCTGTATATAGCCTCTGTACCGGTACCCCCTGTATATAGCCTCCCTACTGTTATTTTACTGCTGCTCTTTAACCATGTTATTTCTTACTTATCTATTTTGTACTTAACACTTATTTTTCTTAAATCTGCATTGTTGGTTAAGGGCTTGTCAGTAAGTATTTCACTGTAAGGTCAACACCTGTTGTATTCTGCGCATGTGACAAATAACATTTGATTTGATTTGATTTGTAAAGTGTTGGTCCCATGTTTCATGAGCTGAAATAAAAGATCCCAGAAATGTTCCATATGCACAAAACCCGTATTTCTCACAAAATAATTGCACACATTTCTTTACATCCCTGTTGGTGAGCATTTCTCCTTTGCCAAGATAATCCATCCACCTGACAGGTGTGGCATATCAAGAAGCTGATTAAACACCATGATCATTACACAGGTGCACCTTGTGCTTGGGACAATAAAAGGCCACTCTAAAATGTGCAGTTTTTTCATACAACACAATGCCACAGATGTCTCAAGTTTTGAGGGAGCGTACAATTGTCATGCTGACTGCAGGAATGTCCACCAGGGCTGTTGCCAGATAATGTAATGCCTCCAACGTCGTTTTAGAGAATTTGGCAGTACGTCCAACCGGCCTCACAACCCCAGACCACGTGTAACCACGCCAGCCCAGGACCTCCGCAGACCACGTGTAACCACGCCAGCCCAGGACCTCCCCAGACCACGTGTAACCACGCCAGCCCAGGACCTCCCCAGACCACGTGTAACCACGCCAGCCCAGGACCTCCCCAGACCACGTGTAACCACGCCAGCCCAGGACCTCCCCAGACCACGTGTAACCACGCCAGCCCAGGACCTCCACGCCAGCCCAGGACCTCCACGCCAGCCCAGGACCTCCACGCCAGCCCAGGACCTCCACGCCAGCCCAGGACCTCCACGCCAGCCCAGGACCTCCACGCCAGCCCAGGACCTCCACGCCAGCCCAGGACCTCCACGCCAGCCCAGGACCTCCACGCCAGCCACAGGACCTCCCCAGACCACATGTAACCACGCCAGCCCAGGACCTCCACGCCAGCCCAGGACCTCCCCAGACCACAACTACCACGCCAGCACCCAAGGACCTCCACGCCAGCCCAGGGACCTCCACGCCAGCCCAGGACCTCCACGCCAGCCCAGGACCTCCACGCCAGCCCAGGACCTCCAGCCAGCCCCAGGACCTCCACGCCAGCCCCAGGACCTCCACGCCAGCCCAGGACCTCCACGCCAAGCCCAGGACCTCCACGCCAGCCCAGGACCTCCACGCCAGCCCAGGACCTCCACGCCAGCCCAGGACCTCACACAGCCAGCGCCAGGACACTCCACGCCAGCCCAGGACCTCCACGCCAGCCCAGGACCTCCACGCCAGCCCAGGACCTCCACATCCGGCTTCTTCACCTGCGGGAGCTGAGACCAGCCACCCAGACAGCTGATGAAACTGAGGAGTATTTCTGTCTGGCCTTTTGTGGGGAAAAAACTCATTCTGATTGGCTGGGTCTGGCTCCCCAGTGGGTGGGCCTATGGGGCAGGAGGAGAGGGCCGAGCCGGCCGGGAGGAAAGGGGACAGTGTGAGTCATTGGATGCGGAAAGGGAGGAGAGTAGGGTCGAAGAGGCAGAATCAGGAGACAGGAGGGAGAAGGATTTAGCAGAAGGGAGAAATGATAGGATAGAAGAGAGCAAGTAGGGTTGGAGGAGAAGGGAGACAGAAAAGGAAACAAAGTAGTGATCAGAGACCTGGAGGGGGGTTGCAGTGAGAATAGTAGGAGAACAGCCTCTAGTAAAGATGAGGTCAAGCCTATTGCCTGCCCTGTCAGTGGGAGGGAACTGGGAAAGGGTGAGGTCAAAAGAGGCAAGGAGGGGAAAGAAAGAGGTGGAAAGAAATGAGTCGAAGTGAGAAGGTTGAAGTCGCCCAGTACGAAGAGCAGTGAGCCATCGTCGGGAAATTAGCTTATCAAGGTGTCAAGCTCATTGAGGAACTCTCTAAGGGCACCAGGTGGGTGATAGATGGCAACAATGTTACGCTTGAGTGGACAAGTGACAGTGACAGCACATAATTAAAATGTGAGAGGTGAGAGAGGGAGGAAAGGAGATGGACAGGTGAGAGAGGGTGGAAAGGAGATGGACAGGTGAGAGAAGGAGGAAAGGAGATGGACAGGTGAGAGAGGGAGGAAAGGAGATGGACAGGTGAGAGAGGGAGGAAAGGAGATGGACAGGTGAGAGAGGGAGGGAAAGGAGATGGACAGGTGAGAGAAGGAGGAAAGGAGATGGACAGGTGAGAGAGGGAGGAAAGGAGATGGACAGGTGAGAGAGGGAGGAAAGGAGATGGACAGGTGAGAGAGGGAGGAAATGAGATGGACAGGTGAGAGAGGGAGGAAAGAGAACATCTCCACTTAGGAGAAATGAGTAGACCTGTACCACCCCCGTGATGACCAGATGCTCTCGGACTATGAGAGAAAACGTAGTCAGATGAGGAGAGAGCAGCTGGAGTAGCAGTGTTCTCTGGGGTGATCCATGTCTCCGTCAGGGGACTGAAGGGAAGCACAGGCTGAGATGAACTCTGCGTTCTTGACTGCAGTTGGGCCGTTCCAAACGCTGCCAGAGACCAGGAACTCCACATGGGTTGTGTGCGCAAGGCACATTAAATTAGAAAGGTTGCAACCAAGGGTTTGTCTGTAAAGCCTTCAGGGGGAGGAGCCAACAGGTATAGAAAACACACACATAGTTGACAAAGCTACAAAAGAGCAAAATGAGATCATCTGAAAATAACTAAGATACTCAGTGAGAGATGAGAGGTGTGGAGCCTTCCTCGAATAACTCTGCAGATCAACTCAGCAGAACCGTCTTCGTTTCAGCAACGAGACCGCCGCTGAGAAAACAGGATAGACTGAAGTACTAACGCTAATTGCCTACCAGAGGTGCAGAGCACACCTCCCGGTACTAATTGTTGATTAACGAGGAGAAACCACTCCCCCTCCAACACAGCCACGGATTACCAAAACAACAACAGTCACACATTGCCCCGCCCCTTGATCCTGGTCGATGTGTCAACAATCAGCTGCAATTTATGAGCAGTCAGCAGTTCACACACCAAGTAGGCTACTGGGAAGACAGGCAGCACAGTAGATGGCCCTTAGCTAGCAACAAGACAGGACTAGACAACAACAGATAAAACAAAACATTATACTTATCACTCCTGGAGATATCAGGAGTCCTCTAGCTATAGAATGAAGCACTATATAGGGAATAAGGTGAATTTAGCGTAATAGTGTAATGTTAATGTACCTGCAATTGAAGCCCTTCTTCCTGGTGTGGGTTACCAGGTGTTTCTTTAACGAGTTGTGCCACTTGAAGTTCTTCCCGCACTGCGGACATTCAAACTTCGGCGCCGCCGCTTTGCTACCACAACACCGGTGGCTGACCCGCTCCCTGCCCGACCCAAAACTGCTTCCACATTTGATACAGACGTAGGCCGCGTTGGAGCACTGTGTCCGGCGGTGGGTGGACATCTCCGAGGACCTTCTGAAGGTCTTGCCACACTGGGAACACTTGTAGGGGTTCTCCCCTGTGTGGAGTCTCTGGTGCTCGAGCATCTTATAGCGGTAGATGAAACAACGGCCACACTGGGGGCACTTATGGGCAACGCGCCGCCGAGGCTGCTCTGACGATACGGTGCTGGAGGCAGGGGTGGAGGACGATACGGTGCTGGAGGCAGGGGTGGAGGACGATACGGTGCTGGAGTTGGCTGTTGGGGGCCCTTGTGTAGTGTTGATGGATGTTGAGGTAGTGCTCTGGGCAGAGACGGAGGCAGCTTGTTGGCTGGCTGATGGGGCAGTGTCTTGTTCAGCAGTCTGAGGAGCAGTGTTGGTGCTCAGTGAGTATTGGTGCTCAGTGTCTAGTGCTTTCCTCCCTTCCTCAGACAACTGCACACGTTGTCTTTCCACACCTTTCTCCTTCACGTCCTTCTGGTTGTCCTTCTGTTTGTCCTTCTGGTTGTCCTTCTGGTTGTCCTTCTGGTTGTCCTTCTGGTTGTCCTTCTGGTTGTCCTTTCTTTGAGAACCTCCTTGGTGTTCTACTGAATCTGTTCCAATCCTGTTTTGATCTATACTTGCTTTGGACTCAGCCCATTGGCCACTCAAACTGTCAGTCATAGTCCCCTGGTAATCTCTGACCTGCGGGGGCGGGTTCTCACAGTCAGGGAAGCCTTCTGATTTGCTGGCGCTGGGGCGCGAGGCATTGGCCAGTCTCATTGAGGGAGGGAAGGATAAGGAGATGAGGAGGCGGTCCTCTGTCCGCAAGGGAGCTGAACAGTGACAACCAGGACCAATGGAAAGAAAATGGGAAACAATTGTGAGGTTATTATATACAGTACCAGTCAAAAGTTTGGACACACCTACTCATTCAAGGGTTATTCTTTATTTTTTACTATTTTCTACATTGTAGAATAATAGTGAAGACATCAAAACTATGAAATAACACATATGGAATCATGTAGTAACCAAATGGGTGTTAAACTAATCAAACATTTTATATTTGAGATTCTTCAAATAGCCACCCTTTGCCTTGATGACCACTCACTGATTGGTTACCCTGCGTGTCGAAGGTCATTGGACACAAATTGAAAGGAAATAACAAAAACCAGCACACTCGGTGGAATGAGTTGGACACTGCTTCCCTACATAGTGCACTACTTTTGAGCAGAGCCCTATGGGAATAGAGGGTCATTTGGGATGCAGACAGAGGCTCACCGCTCTTGGGCAGCTTGAGTTTCCCGTGGCACTGTCGGTTCTGTAGCAGAGACTTCAGATCCTCCCCATGGGAGACACAGTGCATTGAGTCCTCCAGAACAGAGGGGGCAGCACTGATCAACAAAGCAGTCTGGAGACAGCAGAGAGAGCAGTGGTGAAAATGACAGTTACATTTACATTTTAGTCATTTAGCAGACGCTCTTATCCAGAGCGACTTACAGTTAGTGAATACATATTTTTTTATACTGGCCCCCCGTGGGAATTGGACCCACAACCCTGGCGTTGCAAACGCCATGCTCTACCAACTGAGCTACATCCCTGCCGGCCATTCCCTCCCCTACCCTGGACGACGCTGGGCCAATTGTGCGCCGCCCATGAGTCTCCCGGTCGCGGCCGGCTGCGACAGAGCCTGGATTCGAACCAGGATCTCTAGTGGCACAGTTAGCACTGCGATGCAGCGCCTTAGACCACAGCGCCACTCAGTTGTATTGTGACGACAAAGATTTACATATCTGCAATTTCCTCAATGTTTTACCTTACTGAACCCAGTTTACTGTTCAGAACAAAACATAGCTATTGTTTCTCTATCTTACTGTGTCTCTCTGTGGCTGTCTGTCAGTCTGTCTGTCAGTCTGTGTCAGTCTGTCTCTATCCGTCCGTCTGTCTGTCTGTCTGTACCTGTTTGAAGTCAGGGATGGGCAGTAGGTCCTCTAGTCTGGACAGCAAATGATACACCAGATTCTGCAGCGCTGAGTCAAAGTTAGGTCCATACTTCACCGGGAACACAACCTATTGTACAAGAGAGACTTACAACCTGTTTCAATAGTCTAAAAAAACAGCATACTTCCTTGTATTGAGGTTAGCACTAAACATGAGGTCAACTTGATCTGATAAAGTGCAGTGCATCAGTTGGGATCTGTATCAGTGTGACTTGGAGAAGTATCATACCTTGAAGAAGTGTTTCCTCCTATCTGGGTCTTCCACTAGGCTCTGGATCAGTTTCAGGAAGTTGGCTTCAGCAAATTCAATCGCTGCATCGTTTGACTGCAACACATAAGGGGTCCAGACAAACATCACAAGCTGAACCGTGGCGGTTCCCTGGACACAGACTGAGCCTAGTCCCGGAGAATCTCCTTTGAAAGTGCTTTTTAGTCCAGGACTTGGCTGTCTGTGTCCGGGAAACTGCCCCTTACTGCTTACCGTTTAAGAGAACAGGCTTGTCAGAATTGCTCACCAGTTGATTAAAACACTCACCTCTTTGAGACCAGATGTTGTGATTCTATCCAGGTGGCTTTGAACAGCCTTGAGGTCATCCGGATGCCCAGACCCTAATAGTTGTAGACTCACCTTAGACAAGAATCAACCAGTTACCAACTGCTGCATGAAGCCTCCAATCACACAACCTTAATAAACCATAAGAGATACTAGCAAGAGTAGTGTGCAGGTCTCTCTTTTAATCCCATGCACCTGCAACAAGCAGACTTCCATGTGCGAGTTCCAATTTTTTAGCCTCCAATCACAAACAGAACCTTCCAGGGGATTGGCCTGAGCAAGCTGCTAATCTGGACCCCACATAATGAGTTTGTTCCAGTTTGTAGATCAGTGATTCTGCTGAAGCATGCTGGGGAGTCTCTTACCCGTCCTCTGAGAGCCAGGGTCAGCAGCCACTTCTGTCTGTTGGACAGGAGATCTGGAACCGCCTCTGTGACCATGGATACAAACTCCTCCAGTTTCCCATAATGCTTTGTGTTGCCCTGGCGCACCACCTGCCACATGACCGCTGACATCATCCGGAGAGGAGGGACCAGGAAGCCCAGGGAGGGCAGAGGAAAGGGGGATTCTGTTAGGACGGGGAAAGAGAGAAGAGATGGAGGGAGAGAGGAGGTTGGGTCACAATCTTCTTCCCTTCTCCCTGACTTGTCATCAAAAGAGAAGCCATGTGGATATATAAAATCAATTCTGTATCTCCACACGGTTTAAAACGAAGAACTAGATTTCACCTCCTTCCTATAAGCCACATTTAGACTGTTATACAAGAACACTGTCCATATCAGATTTTGCATATCGTTTATGAGTTGGCTCCACATATTTATGAACCTATCTCATGAATTGATATGATGTATTTAGGTGAGGGGACACCTGGGGCGGTTGATTGGTGAGTTGCCCTTCGTGGCCCCTCCCATACCCTATAATTCTGTATCTCTTTGTGACTCATTTGTATACAGGTAGACCAGAGAAGCCACATTCCTGATTGGCCGATGAGTGGCCACCCTGATTAGAATCACCTGCTGCTCATCTGTTGTTCTTTAAAAAACGCTGTTTTTAATTAAAATAACATTTGTACCAACACGCTGAATGAAGTAAGCTTTATGCGACATGTTTTTGAGTATGAACCCATTCCACCATTTAGTTTCTCTTCATTTGTCGTCCGATCTAAAAAGGACAGGTGGAAGGAACAGGGTGTAAATTCCTTCTCTAGTTCATTCATGTTTAAAGAGCACGTTTCAGGAAGACGGGTAGGGAATCGGAATTCAGCACCTTGAATAGTTTGAAAAGTCAGCCATTGCACCCCTCCCTCCCCCCCTCCCCCTCTCCCCCCCCCCCCCCTCCCTCCCTCCCCCCCTCTCACGACATTATAAAATCCATGTACACAAACAACAAGTGTGCGATAAAATTTGACATACCAATTAGGATCTGGCTAAAAATACTTGAATCAGTTATAGAACCCATTGTCCTTTATGGTTCTGAGGTCTGGGGTCCGCTCACCAACCAAGAATTCACAAAATGGGACAAACACCAAATTGAGACTCTGCATGCAGAATTCTGCAAAAACATCCTCCGTGTACAACGTAAAACACCAAATAATGCATGCAGAGCAGAATTAGGCCAATACCCGCTCATTATCAAAATCCAGAAAAGAGCCGTTAAATTCTATAACCACTTAAAAGGAAGCGATTCCCAAACCTTCCATAACAAAGCCCTCACCTACAGAGAGATGAACTTGGAGAAGAGTCCCCTAAGTAAGCTTGTCCTGGGGCTCTGTTCACAAACAGACCCCACAGAGCCCCAGGACAACAACAACAACAACAACACAATTAGACCCAACCAAATCATGAGAAAACAAAAATATAATTACTTGACACATTGGAAAGAACAAACAAAAAAACAGAGCAAACTAGAATGCTATTTGGCCCTAAACAGAGAGTACACAGTGGCAGAATACCTGACCACTGTGACTGACCCAAACTTAAGGAAAGCTTTGACTATGTACAGACTCAGTGAGCATAGCCTTGCTATTGAGAAAGGCCGCCGTAGGCAGACCTGGCACTCAAGAGAAGACAGGCTATGTGCACACTGCCCACAAAATGAGGTGGAAACTGAGCTGCACTTCCTAACCTCTTGCCAAATGTATGACCATATTAGAGACACATATTTCCCTCAGATTACAGCGATCCACAAAGAATTCGAAAACAAACCCAATTTTGATAAACTCCCTTATCTACTGGGTGAAAAACCAGTGTGCCATCACAGCTGCAATATTTGTGACCTGTTGCCACAAGAAAAGGGCAACCAGTGAAGAACAAACACCATTGTAAATACAACCCATATTTATGTTTATTTATTTTCCCATTTGTACTTTAACTATTTGCACATTGTTACAACACTGTATATATACATAATATGACATTTGAAATGTCTTTATTCTTTTGAAACTTCTGAGTGTAATGTTTACTGTTAATATTTATTGTTTATTTCACTTTTGTTTACTATCTACTTCACTTGCTTTGGCAACGTTAACACACGTTTCCCATGCTAATAAAGACCTTAAATTGAAATTGAAATTGAGAGGGAAGAGCGAAGAGACAGTGAGAGGGGGGACTAGAGAAGTAGAGAGAGAGGGAGGTAGAGAGAGAAGAGACAGGGAGAAGGGGGATTAGAGAATAGGAAGAGAGGGGTAGAGAGAGAAGAGACAGGGAGAGGGGGGATTAGAGAATAGAGAGAGAGGTAGAGAGAGAAGAGACAGGGAGAGGGGGGATTAGAGAATAGAGGAGGGGAGGTAGAGAGAGAAGAGCCCAGGGAGAGGGGGATTAGAGAAGTAGAGAGAAAAGGTTTTAGAAAAGAAAAGACAGGGAGAGGGGGGATGGATTAGAAATAGGGAAGAGAAGGTAGAGAGAGAAGAACGGGGAGAGGGGGATTAGAGATAATAAGAGAGGTAAGAGAGAGAAGGGACGATTTTAAGAGACGAGATTTGAGGAGGAATAGGGAGAGGAGGATTAGAGAATAGAGAAGAAGTTAGACGAAGAAGAGACAGGGAGGGGGGATTAAAATAGAGAGAAAAGGGGGTAGAGAGAGAAGAAAAGAGGGGGGAATTAGAGATAGAGAGAGAGAGGTTAGAGAGAGAAGAGAGAGAGGGGGGACTAGAGAAGTAGAGAGAGAGGGAGAGACATGTCTGTCTGTCTGTGAGTCTCATATTTTCCCATTGACTGGAATGTATTGACATAAGCTTCAAGTGGTAGCTCAGCTCAGCTGGAAAAGCACGGCGCTTGTAACGCCAGGGTAGTGGGTTCGATCCCCGGGACCACCCGTACACAAAAATGTAGGCACGCATGACTGTAAATCGCTTTGGATAAAAGCGTCTGCTAAATGGCATATTATTATACTAATCTTTTCACATTGGCACCGCAAAGCCTGCTGGGAGCATGGCCAATTGACAAATGCATCAATTGTATGATTCTTAACCATTTGGAAAAACAGGATGACATTGTCCTATTATATCATGTTGGCAGAATATATTGTAGCGACCCTGCTTTTATAAGCAAGGATAAATCATTACCACTGTTGTTCCATCGAATGTACACGTTGCTGCTAACTGAAGCCCGTTTGTCTTGAACAACACAAATGTAGCTTGGCTACTGTAGCTAGTGAGAATGGTGCAATTGCGGCCCGCAATTGGGGGGTGTTCATACATGTGGGCATTTCTGCGTCTGCATGAACCCCTCTTAATACTTCTATTGGTCCATTTTTAAACCAGGACTCCGGTATGGAGATGGGGGCGCTGCAGTACAGCGCCCCCATCTCACAGTACAGTACAGTACAGTACAGTACAGTGATTCGGCTAATAAAAAAGTGGTCAGATGACGCAGATGCTAAGCTACAGGACTGTTTTGCTAGCACAGACTGGAACATGTTCCGGGATTCTTCAGACAGCATTGAGGAGTACACCACATCAGTCACTGGCTTCATCAATAAGTGCATCGATGATGTCGTCCCCACAGTGACCGTACGTACATACCCCAACCAGAAGCCATGGATTACAGGAAACATCCGCACTGAGCTAAAGGGTAGAGCTGCCGCTTTCAAGGAACGGGACTCTAACCCGGACGCTTATAAGAAATCCCGCTATGACCTCCGACGAACCATCAAACAGGCAAAGAGTCAATACAGGTCTAAGATTGAATCATACTACACTGGCTCTGACGCTCGTCGGATGTGGCAGGGCTTGAAAACTATTACAGACTACAAAGGGAAGCACAGCCGCGAGCAGCCCAGTGACACAAGCCTACCAGACGAGCTAAACCACTTCTATGCTCGCTTCGAGGCAAGCAACACTGAAGCATGCACGAGAGCACCAGCTGTTCCGGACGACTATGTGATCACGCTCTCCGTAGCCGATGTGAGTAAGACTTTTAAGCAGGTCAACATTCACAAGGCCGCAGGGCCAGACGGATTACCAGGACGTGTACTCCGAGCATGTGCTGACCAACTGGCAAGTGTCTTCACTGACATTTTCAACATGTCCCTGACTGAGTCTGTAATACCAACATGTTTCAAGCAGACCACCATAGTCCCCGTGCCCAAGAACTCTAAGATAACCTGCCTAAATGACTACCGACCCGTAGCACTGACGTCTGTAGCCATGAAGTGCTTTGAAAGACTGGTCATGGCTCACATCAACAGCATAATCCCAGAAACCCTAGACCCACTCCAATTTGCATACCGCCCCAACAGATCCACAGATGATGCAATCTCTATCGCACTCCACACTGCCCTTTCCCACCTGGACAAGAGGAACACCTACGTGAGAATGCTATTCATTGACTACAGCTCAGCATTCAACACCATAGTGCCCTCTAAGCTCATCACTAAGCTAAGGATCCTGGGACTAAACACCTCCCTCTGCAACTGGATCCTGGACTTCCTGACGGGCCGCCCCCAGGTGGTAAGGGTAGGTAACAACACATCTGCCACACTGATCCTCAACACGGGGGCCCCTCAGGGGTGCGTGCTCAGTCCCCTCCTGTACTCTCTGTTCACCCATGACTGCATGGCCAGGCACGACTCCAACACCATCATTAAGTTTGCCGACGACACAACAGTGGTAGGCCTGATCACCGACAACGATGAGACAGCCTATAGGGAGGAGGTCAGAGATCTGGCCGTGTGGTGCCAGGACAACAACCTCTCCCTCAACGTGACCAAGACAAAGGAGATGATTGTGGACTACAGGAAAAAAAAGAGGACTGAGCACGCCCCCATTCTCATCGACGGGGCTGTAGTGGAACAGGTTGAGAGCTTCAAGTTCCTTGGTGTCCACATCACCAACGAACTATCATGGTCCAAACACACCAAGACAGTCGTGAAGAGGGCACGACAAAGCCTATTCCCCCTCAGGAGACTAAAAAGATTTGGCATGGGTCCTCAGATCCTCAAAAAATTCTACAGCTGCACCATCGAGAGCATCCTGACTGGTTGCATCACCGCCTGGTATGGCAACTGCTTGGCCTCTGACCGCAAGGCACTACAGAGGGTAGTGCGTACGGCCCAGTACATCACTGGGGCAAAGCTCCCTGCCATCCAGGACCTCTATACCAGGCGGTGTCAGAGGAAGGCCCTCAAAATTGTCAAAGACTCCAGCCACCCTAGTCATAGACTGTTCTCTCTGCTACCGCACGGCAAGCGGTACCGGAGTGCCAAGTCTAGGTCCAAAAGACTTCTCAACAGCTTCTACCCCCAAGCCATAAGACTCCTGAACAGCTAATCATGGCTACCCGGACTATTTGCACTGCCCCCCCCACCCCATCCTTTTTACGCTGCTGCTACTCTGTTAAGTATTTATGCATAGTCACTTTAACTCTACCCACATGTACATATTACCTCAACTACCTCAACTAGCCGGTGCCCCCGCACATTGACTATGCAACGGTACCCCCCCTGTATATATAGCCTCCCTACTGTCACTTTATTTTACTGTATATATAGCCTCCCTACTGTCACTTTATTTTACTTCTGCTCTTTTTTCTCAACACTTTTTTGTTGTTGTTTTATTCTTACTTTTTTGTTTAAAATAAATGCACTGTTGGTTAAGGGCTGTAAGTAAGCATTTCACTGTAATGTCTGCACCTGTTGTATTCGGCGCATGTGACCAATACAATTTGATTTGATTTGATTTGAGGTGGCAGTAATGAACCATAGCGTTGGATGCCGATAGACCCCACAGAAGAAGAAGAAGCTGGGGGCGACAATGGTAGCTGGCTAGCTAGGACCGTGTATTTCGCCCCCGCCTGTTGGACACTGTTTTCCTGCAGTTCTTTTAACGACGGCAAGGGCAGGTGTTCAGGAAGCGTTAGCGAGGGACTCTGTGTGCTAGCTAGCTAGGACTCTGGCAAACAGCAGGCGGGATAGGTAGCTAGCCAGCTAGGACACCAGTAGATAGTCTCCTTCACCCCTGCCTGTTGGAGCACTGCTTTTCTGTTAATGATGGTGAGGGCAGGCGGGAGCGAAGGCCACTGTGCTAGCTAGCTAGGAGGACTCCGGTACACAACAGGCGGGAGGCAGGGGCGACATCGGTAGCTAGCTAGGACACCGGTAGACAAAGTGTCCTTCGCCTCCGGAAAAATTCAGACAATACTTATTTCCTTTTGATCGTTTGATCTCCATACACTTGTTTCCAAAAACTAGAATCTGTAAACAAACAGAGTGGACTGCGTTTTGTAGACTTTGCCAATGTCGTAAAACATTATTTCGAAGGAGTGCAAGGGCGAATTGAGTTATTGCGCACTTCACAGCGTAGGCGTTCCCTAACGGAAATATGCAAATAAATGTTAGGAATGCGCCAATAGGATGTCAATAACTCGTGCTTGCCTCCGCCCACCTCCTTGCTTTGTTCTGCCCACTATGATTCATTTTCTCCCATTGGAAACGACAGGCTCTGGTCTATCTAGCTTGGGTTAGTTAAACAAATATTTGCTATTGTAGCTAGCTAACAACACAAGCCTTTGGCTTGAGGGCCGAAGCAACTGATACACTAGTAGTTACCAAAAGAACAATGCAATCTATACATCAGCTAATACATACCCATATTTCCCCTCTTGCTTCGGATTTTTATGAAAAGAAATAGAAGGAATGTCTTATCTAACAAATATACTAGCTAGTTAGCTATCCTAGCCAGCAAATAAACACCTTTTCGGCTTCTTCTTCATCGTTGGCTTAGAATTTGTACTTCCGGAAACGGTCATGCTGCTTCCTGTCAAAATAAAAGTCCCATGCATCTTTAGGAGGTATTTTCTCTATGATAAAGAAGATTTATCCACCTGCAGTCATCTTCTTTAAAATCATGATCAAGAATAAAATGTTAATAAAATGAGAATATGCGCCGATTTTATGTGCTGTTTTTAGATCAGATCATTTGACTTTTATTTAGAAAAACGAAAATGCGACCGGAAAAGGGAGCTGAGTGTTAACGTTACAAATCTGTTTTACTTCCTGACAGGGTAAAGTATATATTTATGATAATTTGGTTATTTAATAGTTAGTGGAGTTATTATTCACAATGTAGCTAACGAAATGTAATGCCTTCCTTGTATTTGGCATAGTTATGCATTAGGATTAGGGAATGAACGGTATTTATGATAATCGTTACATGGTGAAAATCGGGCCTCTCTGAAATGAAAATGGTTGACCCTCCCTTCAACAAAATATATGTTACCTAAACCATCCCTGAACGCTTGAAAAATAACAAGTGACCGTCCCCTGTACCCAAAATAGTAATTAAAACATAAAGTGGATAGCAGGGAACATTCTTACTGTTTACCAGTGGTGTAGTGCACTTTTTTTCAGGTGAGGGAACGCAACAAACAAAAAGTTGGCTAAATGACATCATAATTTCCTCAATCAAAGTTTATACCGACAGTTGAATAGGCTATCATTATATAATATACATAAAATGCATCCGCCAATTGCAATTTACGCCTGCTTATGCCCACACACATTGTATAAAGGAAAGTTTCCATTTTGAATACCATCAAACACCAAGTTAAGCATAGGCTACCTATTTTCTAAAGAGGCCATCATCACTGAACACGGTTACATGCGTGGCCATTGGATCGTCAGATTAATATAATAGGTCGATTGAAACGTTTACATGCATTGCAAGAAGAACGATTCCCCTAATAATTCTGTCTACATGGACAGATCTGAAATCAGGCTAACTGATGGCACTCTGATAAATGCAGATAATCGCCAATCAAAATAAACGTTCTACCACAGCAAACATGTTATTTTTGGGAAGCATATTTGATTCTGAGTTCGGACATATAAAGTTTGTATGTGAAAACTACTTCTACTACGTATACATTCAGTAGTTCCGAATTGAATTCGCTCGCTCGGCTGGTGCTAGGATGCTGGACGGCGGATTAAGGCGTTTACATGTCCTAATTGTTGGGTAGTTGAATTAAAGAAGTTTAACTCGCTTTAATAACAACTCATCCTTTCCTAGGTTTTACACTTCAAAGCCATTTTCATTCTCTAGTTCTAGTCACGTCTTCATCACTATAACAGGTAGGTAGTCTTGCAATAGTACTATACTACGTCCCATCCTTTGTTAGATTTAAAGTCCACAACTTTAACAATACAACTGTATTCCCGTTTCTAACATTGTTGTTACAATAGCTTACACATTAAATACGATTTATTTTCTTTTACATTCAAAAGGGAAGTACTTTTGTTTTTACATACATCAAAGTTTCAACTGCAATTTTTCAGTGCTTCCATATAAACATTATTCAACAGTCAAATGTAACATTTCAGGAACTCTTGATACAAATCTTCTCTTATATCAGTTATTTTTATTTCAGACCTCCCTAAACCATGCTGGCTTTCTAGATCCATCTTCTGTGCTCACTCGTTCAAATTAGTTGTCTGAGGTTTGTCCCAGAAACACATAGCGTGTCTCAGACCTTGGCATCCAACTTTCCATTCTACATACTTACAATGTACACAACGTCTCCAACATCAAAGCTGTGTTCTTTGGCTCTGTTTTGTCAGCGTATTGTTTCATTTTCTGTTTCTAGGTTTTGTGGTGGTTTTGAATGTCTTTTGCTTTTTCCTTTTACTTCTCAATACTTGGCAACTTTGTTCAAATGTCTCTTCCAAACATGAGAAAGGTTGGTGTTTCCCCCGAAGCACGATGAGGCGTTGAGCGATTAGCTAGGAGAATCTTTGGAAGCTCCTCTTTCCAGCACTTCAAATCAATTGTATTGGTCACATACAGGTGTTTAGCAGATGTTATTGCGGGTGTTATTGCAATCTCTATCGCACTCCACACTGCCCTTTCCCACCTGGACAAGAGGAACACCTACGTGAGAATGCTATTCATTGACTACAGCTCAGCATTCAACACCATAGTGCCCTCTAAGCTCATCACTAAGCTAAGGATCCTGGGACTAAACACCTCCCTCTGCAACTGGATCCTGGACTTCCTGACGGGCCGCCCCCAGGTGGTAAGGGTAGGTAACAACACATCTGCCACACTGATCCTCAACACGGGGGCCCCTCAGGGGTGCGTGCTCAGTCCCCTCCTGTACTCTCTGTTCACCCATGACTGCATGGCCAGGCACGACTCCAACACCATCATTACGTTTGCCGACGACACAACAGTGGTAGGCCTGATCACCGACAACGATGAGACAGCCTATAGGGAGGAGGTCAGAGATCTGGCCGTGTGGTGCCAGGACAACAACCTCTCCCTCAACGTGACCAAGACAAAGGAGATGATTGTGGACTACAGGAAAAAAAAGAGGACTGAGCACGCCCCCATTCTCATCGACGGGGCTGTAGTGGAACAGGTTGAGAGCTTCAAGTTCCTTGGTGTCCACATCACCAACGAACTATCATGGTCCAAACACACCAAGACAGTCGTGAAGAGGGCACGACAAAGCCTATTCCCCCTCAGGAGACTAAAAAGATTTGGCATGGGTCCTCAGATCCTCAAAAAATTCTACAGCTGCACCATCGAGAGCATCCTGACTGGTTGCATCACCGCCTGGTATGGCAACTGCTTGGCCTCCGACCGCAAGGCACTACAGAGGGTAGTGCGTACGGCCCAGTACATCACTGGGGCAAAGCTTCCTGCCATCCAGGACCTCTATACCAGGCGGTGTCAGAGGAAGGCCCTCAAAATTGTCAAAGACTCCAGCCACCCTAGTCATAGACTGTTCTCTCTGCTACCGCACGGCAAGCGGTACCGGAGTGCCAAGTCTAGGTCCAAAAGACTTCTCAACAGCTTCTACCCCCAAGCCATAAGACTCCTGAACAGCTAATCATGGCTACCCGGACTATTTGCACTGCCCCCCCACCCCATCCTTTTTACGCTGCTGCTACTCTGTTAAGTATTTATGCATAGTCACTTTAACTCTACCCACATGTACATATTACTTCAACTACCTCAACTAGCCGGTGCCCCCGCACATTGACTCTGCAACGGTACCCCCCTGTATATATAGCCTCCCTACTGTCACTTTATTTTACTTCTGCTCTTTTTTTCTCAACACTTTTTTTGTTGTTGTTTTATTCTTACTTTTTTTGTTTAAAATAAATGCACTGTTGGTTAAGGGCTGTAAGTAAGCATTTCACTGTAATGTCTGCACCTGTTGTATTCGGCGCATGTGACCAATAAAATTTGATTTGATTTGATTTGAAATGCTTGTGTTTCTAGCTCCGACAGTGCAGTAATATCTACCAAGTAATATCTAACATTTTCACAACATATACCCAATACACACAAATCTAAGTAAAGCAATGGAATTAAGAATATATAAATAAATATATGGATGAGAAATGTCAGTGGCATAGACTAAGATACAGTAGAATAGTATAGAATACAGTATATACATATGAGATGAGTAATGCAAGATATGTAAACATTATTAAAGTGGCTAGTGTTCAATTTATTAAAGTGGCCAGTGATTTCTAATCTATGTATGTAGGCAGCAGCCTCTAATGTGCTAGTGAAAGCTGTTTAACAGTCCGATGGCCTTGAGATAGAAGCTGTTTTTCTGTCTCTGGGTCCCAGCTTTGATGCACCTGTACTGACCTCGCCTTCTGCATGATAGCAGGGTGAACAGGCAGTGGATCGGGTGGTTGTTGTCCTTGATGATCTTTTTGGCCGGTAGTTTGCCCCATGTGATGCGTGGCCATTTGATTAATTGTTCTGCAGTCTTATGGCTTGGTGGTGGAAGCTGTTAAGGAGCCTTTTGGTCCAAGACTTGGCGCTCCGGTACCGCTTGTCGTGCGGTAGCAGAGAGAACAGTCTATGACTTGGGTGACTGGAGTCTTTGACAATTTTGAGGGCTTTCCTCTGACACCGCCTGGTATAGAGGTCCTGGATGGCAGGAAGCTTGGCCCCAGTGATGTACTGGGCCGTACTCACTACCCTCCTTAGCGCCTTACGGTTGGAGGCCAAGCAGTTGCCATACCAGGCGGTGATGCAACCGGTCAGGATGCTCTCGATGGTGCAGCTATATAACTTTTTGAGGGTCTGGGGACCCATGCCAAATCTTTACAGTCTCCTGAGGGGGAAGAGGCGTTGTTGTGCCCTCTTAATTTTTCCTTGTTAAGTGTCAGTCCTCTGTCTTGGAATGTCTCTGTTCCAGTTCACTTTTGCTTTCAGCGAAGACAACAACATCGTCCATGTAGCAAACCACACCTTGTAACCACATAGCATAAAGTCCATGGCTTTCTGGTAGGCCTCAGGTGCGCTTGATAATCCGAAGGGAACTTTCTTGAATCTGTAGTATCCTCTGTGTGTGATGAATGTTGTCAGGTTTCTTTATTCTGAGGGTAGTTCAACTTGCCAAAATCCTTTTCTTGCGTCCAGTTTTGCAAACACTTTCGCTCCTTGCATTGCTTGCAGTATACTGTCTACTGTGGGAATGTCATGCGTCTGGGTGTAGCGGTAGGATGGAATCAGGCGTAGGACACAGAACTATAATAACAAAGTTCTTTACTGGAACAAAATAGCAGAGCAAATCCTCCACGCAGGGAAGCGCAAATACCGGCTCACCAAAAGACAGCAAAACAACGAACAATCACGCACAACACCATGAGGGAACCAGAGGGTAAAATAGGGAAACGAATTACCATAATGAATAACAGGTGTGATCAATACAGACAAGACTAGTGGAACACAGAAAACATAGATCGGTGGCAGCTAGTACTCCGGTGACGACGAACGCCGAAGCCTGCCCGAGCAAGGAGGAGGGGCAGCCTCGGCTGAATTCATGACAGGGAACTGGGTGTCTCGTATGACAGCTTTGTTCTCGTAAGTTGAACACAAACTCCCGACTTCTTTTGTTGCTTTCATTGGAATGAGGAGAATATCGGAAATCCATTCTGATCCTTCATTCACTAGATTAACATCATCATCTAACATCCTAGTCCAGTTCTTGATTGACAGCTTCCAGCTTTTGATAAGGAACGCATCTCAGGCCTTGAGCTACAGGGGGTGTTTTCCCATTCACCGTAACTTTGTGACTATTTCCAAGTCCTTGGAAAAGGGACTCATATTCCTGTGCTAGCTGCACGAATCTGCCTGGTGATTTCTCTATTATTGCCATTATCTCTTGTGCTCAGTATTTTCAATTCAAAACATGTTTTCCTTCCTATCAATGCTTCTACATTTCCTTTGGTATTTTGTTGCACTTTTATTCCATACTAGTTCTGCTTTGCAGTCTGAGCATAAGCATATCACTTTTTCTTAGCCTCTAAGTTCCATTCCTGCAAACGTTCTCTTGAACAGGGATTCTCCGATGAAATTCCTTCCACTGCCTGTATCGAGGATAATTTTCCAGCTATTGTCCATTGACTTTCACTGTTTCTTTACCCTCACGTCAGATTCAGGTTCATTCTTGAACTGGTTTGTCAGTTTTTAGCTTTGTCTCTCTTTATGTTTGTCGCTTGTGTTCTTTTGAATGCTCTTTTCTTTTTTCTACAGACCATAATGCACGTATGTAATGGACATACACGAAATAGTCTGAATTGGTGAAGTGAAATGACAAAAATTACTTGTTTCAAAACATTCTAAAACGGAAAAGTGGTGTGTGCATATGTATTCACCCCCTTTGCTATGAAGCCCCTAAATAAGATCTGGTGCAACCAATTACCTTCAGAAGTCACATAATTAGTTAAATAAAGTCCACCTGTGTGCAATCTAAGTGTCACATGACCTCAGTATATATATATACACCTGTTCTGAAAGGCCCCAGATTCTGTAACATCACTAAGCAAGGGGCACCACCAAGCAAGCGGCACCATGAAGTCCAAGGAGCTCTCCAAACAGGTCAGGGACAAAGTTGTGGAGAAGTACAGATCAGGGTTGGGTTATAAAAAAATATCTGACACTTTGAACATCCCACGGAGCACCATTAATTAAAAAGAAAAGATTAAGATGGGCAGTCTGAGATGTGGCTTTTTCTTTGCAACTCTGCCTAGAAGGTCAGCATCCCGGAGTCGCCTCTTCACTGTTGACGTTGAGACTGGTGTTTTGCGGGTACTATTTAATGAAGCTACCAGTTGAGGACCTGTGAGGCGTCTGTTTCTCAAACTAGTCACTAATGTATTTGTCCTCTTGCTCAGTTGTGCACCAGGGCCTCCCACTCCTCTTTCTATTCTGGTTAGAGCCAGTTTCCGCTGTTCTGTGAAGGGAGTAGTACACAGCGTTGTACGAGATCTTCAGTTTCGTGGCAATTTCTCACATGGAATAGCCTTCATTTCTCAGAACAAGAATAGACTGACAAGTTTCAGAAGAAAGTTATTTGTTTCTGGCCATTTTGAGCCTGTAATCGAACCCACAATTGCTGATACTCCAGATACTCAACTAGTCTCAAGAAGGCCAGTTTTATTGCTTCTTTAATCAGCACAACAGTTTTCAGCTGTGCTAACATAATTGCAAAAGGGTTTTCTAATGATGAATTAGCCATTTTAAAATGATAAACTTGGATTAGCAAACACAACGTGCCATTGGAACACAGGACTGATGGTTGCTGATAATGGCCCTCTGTACGCCTATGTAGATATTCCATTAAAAATCTGCCGCTTCCAGCTACAATAGCCGTTTACAACATTAACAATAATGGACAAAAAAATGGCTTTTCTTTAGAAAACAAGGACATTTCTAAGTGACCCCAAACTTTTGAACGGTAGTGTGTGTGTGTGTGTGTATATATATATATATATATATATATAACACAAAATATTACATGACCCTCCCTTGGACTAGATTAAAATAATACTAAACCCTCCCCTTGACTGAAATTGAAATAACATGACCCTCCCCCATTTTCCTCCAGGTCCCCATTCTGTAAATGTTGATCCATCCGACCTTGATTTAGCTAGCAGTGCTGAGTTCGATTTGTCATCTGCATTCAGTTGCAGTGAACATACAAAACTGTAGTTACATTGACTATATACTGTATATGTTGACATGTTATTGTTAGCCTGTCAACCTCTGTCCTCTGAAAAAGCTACTGAGTGATCGTCATTGAATCCCGTTGAACAAGTTTATCCACATAACATCAACACAAGGCTAGCAGCGTAATAGAACTCTATTGACCTCATGTATCTTTTTCTCCACAGGCTGTTCTCCTGATCAGTATCCTACATGGCGGATAACAGTGATTTCCTCTTGCAATTTCAAGGTGAGTGAGTTTTTATAGACTGTATTAATAATGATAATGCCATTCAGATCAGTGGAGGCTCCTCAGAGGAAGGGGAGGACCATCCTCCTCAGTGAATTCAATAAAAATAGAAATAGCGAAACATTAAAAAAGTTATTATTTTTAGATAAAGCGATACTAAATATATTCACGTCACCAAATAATTGATTAAAACACACTGTTTTGCGATGAAGGTCTACAGTAGCCTCAGCAGCACTCTGTAGGGTAGCACCATGGTGTAGCCGGAGGACAGCTAGCTTCCATCCTCCTCTGGGTACATTGACTTCAATACAAAACCTAGGAGGCTCATGGTTCTCACCCTCTTCCATAGACTTACACAGTAATTATGACAACTTCCGGAGGACGTCCTCCAACCTATCAGAGCGTTTGCAGCATGAACTGACATGTTGTCCACCCAATCAAAGGATAAGCTACAGCTAGCTAGCAGTGCATAAAATGTGTTGAGAAGTTGACTCAAAGAGAGAGAAAGACAATAGTTGAACAGTTTTGAACAAATTCATTTCTTCAAAAATCCTGATATTACCAGGTTCTGACCACTAGATGGTGCTGTTAGGGGATTTAACAATCTGAGATGGTGAGTGTCGAAATCCTCTTTCTTGTGCTTTTTGAGGTGGAACAACACTTTACTAACATTCTGAATCAGAATCTTTGTCATAACCTTTTCTTTTACTAACATTCTGAATCAGAATCTTTGTCATAACCTTTTCTTTTACTAACATTCTGAATCAGAATTCGACAGTGCTGAGAGCCATTTGGGAGGGAACAGAGATGCGACCACCATCAGTATCGAGGACAAAGCAGCAGGAAGTCACAAACCTCAGAAACAGAGGAGATCTGCCCCGGTGACATCCTTCGAAGAGGACAATGACCCATTGGCCAATGACGACAAGACTGAGGTCAGAGAAATACATACACTACATGACCAAAAGTATGTGGACACCTGCTGGTCGAACATTTCATTCCAAAATCATGGGCATTAATATGGAGTTGGTCCCCCCTTTGCTGCTATAACAGCCTCCACACTTCTGGGAAGGCTTTCCACTAGATGTTTAAACATTGCTGCAGGGACTTGCTTCCATTCAGCCACAAGAGCATTAGTGAGGTTGGGCACTGAGGTTGGGCGATTAGGCCTGTCTCGCAGTCTGTGTTCCAATTAATCCCAAAGGTGTTCAATGGGGTTGAGGTCAGGGCTCTGTGCAGGCCAGTCAAGTTCTTCCACACTGATCTTGACAAACCATTTCTGTATGGACCTCGCTTTGTGCACGGGGGCATTGTCATGCTGAAACAGGAAAGGGCCTTCCCGAAACTGTTGCCACAAAGTTGGAAGCACAGAATCGTCTAGAATGTCATTGTATGCTGTGGCGTTAAGATTTCCCTTCACTGGAACTAAGGGGCCTAGCCCGAACCAAGAAAAACAGCCCCAGACCATTATTCCTCCTCCACCAAACTTTACAGTTGGCCCTATGCATTCGGGCAGGTAGCGTTCTCCTGGCATTCGCCAAACCCAGATTTGTCTGTCGGACTGCCAGACGGTGAATCGTGATTCATCACTCAAGAGAACGCGTTTCCACTGCTCCAGAGTCCAATGGCGGCAAGCTTTACACCCCTCCAGCCGACGCTTGGCATTGCGCATGATGATCTTAGGCTTGTGTGCGGCTGCTCGGCCGTGGAAACCCATTTCATTAAGCTCCAGACTAACAGTTATTGTTAGAGCCGATTTGGGCATATTTTGTATAAAAGACTGAACATACTGAGCTCCATGTACATTTGTGTAAATATATTAAATATTAATGTATATGATGAAATATTAGGTACGTACCTTTATGATTTATTTACCGGATTGAGATATATTCATTTGTTATTAGTGTAACTCAGTTTTTGGCCCCCCCTCTTGCCCATTCATTGTACTGTGTTAATTGTGTTAGTATAAAGGCAGGAAGTTGGGCCTTCGGGGGGAGGAGTCCTTGCTAGATGCGGGAGCGGTATAGTTTTTTGACCATATAGACATACAGAAATACAGACAGACAGGTCATATTATATTATGTATTTGCATTTCAAGTAATCTCTGCTTTAAGTTGATTGGAGAATACCTTTTTGTTAGATAAGAAGAATAAACAGTTTTGTTGCACTATATCCCTGGATCTCATTGAATGTTTGGCCGTTTGGAAACGTTGAGTGTGGACTGTATGCGTCCGAAACAACCCCGCTTCAGGCTAGGGCAGTGGCTATGGTAAAGAGGAAAGGAAGCCACTACAGTTATTGTGCTGATGTTGCTTCTAGAGACAGTTTGGAACTTGGTAGTGAGTGTTGCAACTGAGGACAGACCATCTTTATGCGCTTCGGCGGTCCCATTCTGTGAGCTTGTGTGGCCTACCACTTCGCGGCTGAGCCGTTGTTGCTCCTAGACGTTTCCACTTCACAATAACAGCACTTACAGTTGACCAGGGGCAGCTCTAGCAGGGCAGAAATTTGACGAACTGACTTGTTGGCAAGGTGGCATCCTATGATGATGCCATGTTGAAAATCACTGAGCTCTTCAGTAAGGCCATTCTCCTGACAATGTTTGTCTATGGAGATTGCATGGCTGTGTGCTCGATTTTATACACCTGTCAGCAACGGGTGTGACTGAAAGAGCCAAATCTACTCATTTGAAGGCGTGTCCATATACTTTTGTATATATAGTGTAGTTTACCACGTTATAACGTAACATTGACAACATATGGGCTGCGATCGGCAAGCATTTAGTTGCAGCCCATATGTTGTCAATGTTTGCTTCAGAAATAAAGCACATGCCATATAAAAGCCCATTTGATGTTTGTGATAATTCATCTAATTATGTGACTGTGGGTTGTTTGTTTGTTACTGGATGTAAGTTACATTGTTTTTAAAATGCAAGTTTCTTTTCCCTCCAGCTGTTGTCTGGGCAGAAGAAAAGTGCTCCTTTCTGGACCTTTGAATATTATCAGACATTCTTTGACGTAGAGACACACCAGGTACTTCCACTCAACTGCCTTTATCTCAGACTTGTGATGTATTGTTCATCTGAATTTAATCGGCCAAACAAATAGGCCTTTGAATACATTATACACATTTTGTAATGACTATTGCAATGAGTATTTAAGAACGAATCAAGTTACTTTCCTCATCCATTGGATCAGGACCTGATTATTTTTGTGGGGAAAACAGCTAACTTCCTGCATTTCAACACACATTTTGCCGTGGAGAGAAAAATGTGCTGTTTTATAGATCATCTCATGTTATTGTTCACATTTTGCAATGAGGCTGAGAGGTTTTTATTTATTTTTAAAGCAAATGTCCTGTAATTCTACACATTTTGCTATCATATGCTATCTAGGGGGCCCCCCGACCTCCAGGTGACCCATAACCCCAAAAAACAAAACAAAAAGTCGGGGGCCACCGGGTCACGTGCCCTGCGTGCCCTTTCTGTCGTCCATAGGATAGGCGTCCGCCTTTTGATATGTAATAATGTATTCATTCAATTTCTGTGTTGTAATGCCAGTGCTGTCATGCCAGTGTTGTAATGCCAGTGTTGTAATGCCAGTGTTGTAATGCCAGTGTTGTCATGCCAGTGTTGTAATGCCAGTGTTGTCATGTGTTTCCTCCAGGTGAGAGAGAGAATCCTAGGGTCGTTATTGCCATGGCCAGGGAAGAACTTCGTCCGTCTCTACATCCGCAGCAACCCTGATCTTTATGGTGAGCGTCCTTCCTTCCTACTAGTGATGACATGAAGTGTTGTTACCCTAAAATGTTTTCCGTTAGCGCCAGCTGTCGGCCAATCAGCCGCTTACTTTTTCCACTTCATATTACCTACCGTATTTTCCGCACTATAAGGCCACCGGAGTATAAGCCGCAGCAGCTAAATTGAATGATATTGAATGATGTGTCCATATATAAGCCGCACTGGACTATAAGCCGCAGGTGTTTTAATGTTTAATTACCATATGTAAGGGTTCGTACACAGAGGGGATTGTCGGGAAAGAGACAAACTGTCTCGCTCTCGTAATGTCTGTCTGTCTTGCTCTCGTTCTGTCTCTCGTTCTGTCTCTCGTACCACTCTCGGGTTCCACTTTTACTTTTGCACGATACCTGTCTCACTCATTTCCGGCCTCCAGCTTTTCCTGCTGGAGCCCGCCGCTTAAAGGTGGGGGGCGCGGACCGGTCATAGAGCCCATAGAGTTAAAGTTGGTGGACTGTAACCTGTAAAATCCATAGATTTAGGAGGTCTTCTAGTGGCCGTTAGCTGTAAAAATCCATAGATTAGCCGCACCATTATATAAGCCGCAGGGTCGAAAAATGGGGAAAAAAGGCGCGGTTTATAGTCCGAAAATTACGGGTAGGTTACTTTTCATTTAAACGTTTTAATTGGCTAGTCTGTCGATCCCACTCCCGCTACAGTGAACGATATGCATCTTCTAGCGATCTACCGATAGGTACAGGCTCCTGTCAGTCACAAAGCGAGCGACGACATGGGTAATGCGGTGTGCTTTCTGTCCAACCTCCTGGTACAATTTGTTGCAATTTAAGTTCTTTACACACGGAGAATACGATTTAGCTTAATTATAGTTTTTCTGACACATTAATTTATTTTACTTTGTGTGTTTCACATAGCCAGCCACATGGAGTCGTGACACATAGTGGGCTGTTTACTGGGTGTTACATAGTAGGCTGTTTACTGTGTGTTGATTGACAACTGAACACCAAGTGTTGACTAGTTTATAAAAGGTGTCGAACTGACGGAATAAAGTCGATCTCCTACAGTGCATTCGGGAATACATTCAGACCAATTGACTTTTTCCACATTTTGTTACGTTACAGCCTTATTCTAAAATTGATTAAATTGTTTTTTTGGCTCCTCAATCTACACACAATACCCCATAATGATAAAGCAAAAACAGGTTTTTAGAATGGTTTGCAAATTTATTAAAAATAAAAAATGGAAATATCACATTTACATACTGTAAGTATTCAGACCCTTTACTCAGTACTGTGTTGAAGCACCTTTGGCAGCGATTACAGCCTTGAGTCTTCTTGGGTATGACACTACAAGCTTGGCACACCTGTATTTGGGGAGTTTCTCCCATTCTTCTCTGCAGATCCTCTCAAGCTCTGTCAGGTTGGATGGGGAGCGTCGCTGCACAGCTATTTTCAGGTCTCTCCAGAGATGTTAGATCGGGTTCAAGTCCGGGCTCTGGCTGGGCCACTCAAGGACATTCAGAGACTTGTCCCGAAGCCACTCCTGCATTGTCTTGGCTGTGTGTTTAGGGTCGTTGTTCTGTTGGAAGGTGAACCTTCGCCCCCAGTCTGAGGTCCTGAGCGCTCTGGAGCAGGTTTTCATCAAGGATCTCTCTGTACTTTGCTCCATTAATCTTTCCCTCGATCCTGACTAGTCTTCCAGTCCCTGCTGCTGAAAAACATCCCCACAGCATGATGCTGCCACCACCATGCTTCACCGTAGGGATGGTATTGGCCAGGTGATGAGCGGTGCCTGGTTTCCTCCAGACGTGACGCTTGGCATTCAGGCCAAAGAGTTCAATCTTGGTTTCATCAGACCAGAGAATCTTGTTTCTCATGGTCAGAGTCCTTTAAGTGCCTTTTTGTCAAACTCCAAGCGGGCTGTCATGTGCCTTTTACTGAGGAGTGGCTTCCGCCTGGCCACTCTACCATTAAGGCCTGATTGGTGGAGTGCTGCAGAGATGGTTGTCCTTCTGGAAGGTTCTCCCATCTCCACAGAGGAATTCAGGAGCTATGTCAGTGTGACCACTGCGTTCTTGATCACCTCCCTGACAAAAAAGGCCCTTCTTCCCCGATTGCTCAGTTTGGCCGGGCGGCCAGCTCTAGGAAGAATCTTGGTGTTTCCAAACTTCTTCCATTTAAGAATGACGGAGGCCACTGTGTTCTTGGGGACCTTCAATGCTGCAGAATTTTTTTGGTACCCTTCCCCAGATCTGTGCCTCGACACAATCCTGTCTCGGAGCTCTACGGACAATTCCTTTGACCTCATGACTTGGTTTTTGCTCTGACATGCACTGTCAACTGTGGGACCTTATATAGACAAGTGTGTGCCTTTCCAAATCATGTCCAATCAATTGAATTTACCACAGGTGGAGTCCAATCAAGTTGTAGAAACATCTCAAGGATGATCAATGGAAACAGGATGCATCTGAGCTCAATTTCGAGTCAATTTGAAGTCTCATAGCAAAGGGGCTGAATACTTATGTAAATAAGGTATTTCAGTTTTTTATTTGTATACATTTTCAAACATTTCTAAAAACCTGTTTTCGTTTTGTCATTATGGGGTATTGTGTGTAGATTGATGAGGGAAAAAATATATATAATCCATTTTAGAATAATGCTGTAACGTGACAAAATGTGGAAAAAGTCAAGGGGTCTGAATACTTTCCGAATGCACTGTATATCCCTTTGCCATTCATAAATCATGCAATGTGGTTATTTGTCCATGGTATTGCATATCGACAAGTCAACCAAAGGGTTTCCAAGGTTTCCTTTCCTAGGAGCTTGGCTTGCCAGGCAGTGACTCTAAAGTGAGTGGTCTCGTCGGTGATGTAGCCTGGCGGATCGCATCGGTGATGTATCCTACCGGATCGCATCGGTGATCGGATCGCATCGGTGATGTAGCCTACCGGATCGCATCGGTGATGTAGCCTACCGGATCGCATCGGTGATCGGATCGCATCGGTGATGTAGCCTACCGGATCGCATCGGTGATGTAGCCTGCCGGATCGCATCGGTGATGTAGCCTACCGGATCGCATCGGTGATGTAGCCTGCCGGATCGCATCGGTGATGTAGCCTGCCGGATCGCTTACCGGATCGCATCGGTGATGTAGCCTGCCGGATCGCATCGGTGATGTAGCCTGCCGGATCGCTTACCGGATCGCATCGGTGATGTAGCCTGCCGGATCGCATCGGTGATGTAGCCTGCCGGATCGCTTACCGGATCGCATCGGTGATGTAGCCTACCGGATCGCATCGGTGATGTAGCCTGCCGGGTCGCATCGGTGAGAGAGCCGTTCATTTGGCTCCCTAATTTGCATATGCTACTGGTAGGCCTAGTCTTTTTGCAGATTATCTGCAAATAAATTATGAAAACATTCGATGAAGATGGTGAATCATCACTGCAGGAACAACAGGTAGTGGAGAGACTCATTCTGGTCCAAATATCATCATTAGGGCCCTCACAGAATCCAGGCATTAAAACATGTATTGACCTTAGTAGGGAATCAACTAAATGTATTGACCTTAGTAGGGAATCAACTAAATGTACTGACCTTAGTAGGGAATCAACTAAATGTATTGACCTTAGTAGCGAATCCCTTTGAAAACTGCTTATGTTGCATCGATATGAGTCAGAAACAAAATTTACTACAAAGTGTAAATAGGATCATTTTGGTCATAAAGTCAGTCTTGTCTAAAACTGAGTTTGGAACATCCGTGCGTCACAACCGATAAATGGAGGTTGAGTTTTGATTTGATGATGTCCATTTGCCAAACTCGTGATGCGAGATTGCTCTCTATCCCAGTGGTTCCCAAACTTTTTCAGTTACTGTACCACCAACTGAATTTTGCTCTTAGATTCATTCTGGGGATTTTGAGGAAGTGAAATAGGCTTCATGGGGGACAAACATCATTAACCAAATGCAGAGTTGGTCAGGAAACACACCTCCAAGACTGATATCTAATTTTTTCAAATGAGCAACAGAAAAACATACGTGCCAATTGGCGTGTTCAGTGGTTCTTTAACTACGAAGTAGCCTGGCAGAATGATATCATGATTATTTTCATCAATCCACTGGGTATTTACTCTACCGTCACATGGTCACTACAAAACCACCGCTAAACAACATCCTCATGCTAGGTGCTCACTTCCATTAATGGGTAACTACATCCAAAAATCAACAAGTGGTCTCCTGATGTGGTTTAAGCATTGTTGTGGACTTAGAACATACAATTTTGTTGTTTTTCAAAAAACCTTTTTTTTTTTAAATAGATAATTTGAAGAACTAACATCATTGTGGCAATTCATATCTTGCAGTACAAATGAGACTTTAATCTCAAGAGAAGACAAGATAAATGTTAAAAGGTTTAATGTTCTCTTACTTAGAAAACAGTCCTGATCATATAGTCCTAGACAATATCCAAAACAACAATACACTGAATCCGGACATTTTCAGGCATTTCAAATGGTAAAGTCATGTCTTTCTAGACAATACCACAACACATTTTTTCAATCTGAGAGGTAAACTCGTTAAAGTATTCAATAATTTCGCTGTGTATTTCGGATGGAATTAAGGCATAAGAATTTACGCCAAAAACATTTTGAACGCAGAAGGACAAGCCCCCCCGGACCGGGGGCACCTGGCTGGCCACTTTTTCTATTTGGCTGGCTACTCTATCTCCAGTCGTGTTCAAAAGTTTTGAGAATGACACAAATATTAATTTTCACAAAGTCTGCTGCCACAGTTTTGATGATGGCAATTTGCATATACTCCAGAATGTTATGAAGAGTGATCAGATGAATTGCAATTAATTGTAAAGTCCCTCTTTGCCATGAAAATGAACTTAATCCCATTTCAGCCCTGCCACAAAAGGACCAGCTGACATCATGTCAGTGATTCTCTCGTTAACACAGGTGAGAGTGTTGACGAGGACAAGGCTGGAGATCACTCTGTCATGCTGATTGAGTTAGAATAACAGACTGGAAGCTTTAAAAGGAGGGTGGTGCTTGAAATCATTGTTCTTCCTCTGTTAACCATGGTTACCTGCAAGGAAACACGTGCCGTCATCATTGCTTTGCACAAAAAGGGCTTCACAGGCAAGGATATTGCTGCTAGTAAGATTGCACCTAGATCAACCATTTATCGGATCATCAAGAACTTCAAGGAGAGAGGTTAAATTGTTGTGAAGAAGGCTTCAGGGCGCCCAAGAAAGTCCAGCAAGCGCCAGGACCGTCTCCTAAAGTTGATTCAGCTGCGGGATCGGGGCACCACCAGTGCAGAGCTTGCTCAGGAATGGCAGCAGGCAGGTGTGAGTGCATCTGCACCCACAGTGAGTTAAAGACTTTCGGAGGATGGCCTGGTGTCAAGAAGGGCAGCAAAGAAGCCACTTCTCTCCAGGAAAAACATCAGGGACAGACTGATATTCTGCAAAAGGTACAGGGATTGGATTGCTGAGGACTGGGGTAAAGTCATTTTCTCTGATGAATCCCCTTTCCGATTGTTTGGGGCATCTGGAAAACACCTTGTCCGGAGAAGACAAGGTGAGCGCTACCATCAGTCCTGTGTCATGCCAACAGTAAAGCATCCTGAGACCATTCATGTGTGGGGTTGCTTCTCAGCCAAGGGAGTTGGCTCACTCACAATTTTGCCTAAGAACACAGCCATGAATAAAGAATGGTACCAACACATCCTCCGAGAGCAACTTCTCCCAACCATCCAAGAACAGTTTGGTGACGAACAATGCCTTTTCCAGCATGATGGAGCACCTTGCCATAAGGCAAAAGTGATAACTAAGTGGCTCGGGGAACAAAACATCGACATTTTGGGTCCATGGCCAGGAAACTCCCCAGACCTTAATCCCATTGAGAACTTGTGGTCGATCCTCAAGATGCGGGTGGACAAACAAAAACCTACAAATTCTGACAAACTCCAAGCATTGATTATGCAAGAATGGGCTGCCATCAGTCAGGATGTGGCCCAGAAGTTAATTGACTGCATGCCAGGGCGGATTGCAGAGGTCTTGAAAAAGAAGGGTCAACACTTGTGTCATTCTCAAAACTTTTCACCCCCCTTGGCATTTTTCCTATTTTGTTGCCTTACAACCTGGAATTTTAATTGATTTTTTGGGGGATTTGTATCATTTGATTTACACAACATGCCTACCACTTTGAAGATGAAAAATATGTTTTATTGTGAAACAAACAAGAAATAAGAAAAAAAAACAGAACTTGAGCGTGCATAACTATTCACCCCCCCCCAAAGTAGAGCCACCTTTCGCAGCAATTACAGCTGCAAGTCTCTTGGGGTATGTCTCTATAAGCTTGGCACATCTAGCCACTGGGATTTTTGCCCATTCTTCAAGGCAAAACTGCTCCAGCTCCTTCAAGTTGGATGGGTTCCGCTGGTGTACAGCAATCTTTACGTCATACCACAGATTCTCAATTGGATTGAGGTCTGGGCTTTGACTAGGCCATTCCAAGACATTTAAATGTTTCCCCTTAAACCACTTGAGTGTTGCTTTAGCAGTATGCTTAGGGTCATTGTCATGCTGGAAGATGAACCTCTGTCCCAGTCTCAAATCTCTGGAAGACTGAAACAGGTTTACCTCAAGAATTTCCCTGTATTTAGCGCCATCCATCATTCCTTCAATTCTGACCAGTTTCCCAGTCCCTGCCGATGAAAAACATCCCCACAGCATAATGCTGCCACCACCATGCTTCACTGTGGGGATGGTGTTCTCGGGGTGATGAGAGGTGTTGGGTTTGCGCCAGACATAGCGTTTTCCTTGATGGCCAAAAAGCTCAATTTTAGTCTCATCTGACCAGAGTACCTTCTTCCATATGTTTGGGGAGTCTCCCACATGCCTTTTGGCGAACACCAAACGTGTTTGCTTATTTTTTTCTTTAAGCGATGGCTTTTTTCTGGCCACTCTTCCATAAAGCCCAGCTCTGTGGAGTGTACAGCTTAAAGTGGTCTTATGGACAGATACTCCAATCTCCGCTGTAGAGCTTTGCAGCTCCTTCAGGGTTATCTTTGGTATCTTTGTTGCCTCTCTGATTAATGCCTTCCTTGCCTGGTCCGTGAGTTTTGGTGGGCGGCCCTCTCTTGGCAGGTTTGTTGTGGTGCCATATTCTTTCCATTTTTTATTAATGGATTTAATGGTGCTCCGTGGGATGTTCAAAGTGTCGGATATTTTTTTATAACCCAACCCTGATCTGTACTTCTCCACAACTTTGTCCCTGACCTGTTTGGAGAGCTCCTTGCTCTTCATGGTTCCGCTTGCTTGGTGGTGCCCCTTGCTTAGTGGTGTTGCAGACTCTGGGGCCTTTCAGAACAGGTGTATATATACTGAGATCATGTGACAGATCATGTGACACTTAGATTGCACACAGGTCGACTTTATTTAACTAATTATGTGACTTCTGAAGGTAATTGGTTGCACCAGATCTTATTTAGGGGCTTCATAGCAAAGGGGGTGAATACATATGCACGCACCACTTTTCCGTTATATATTTTTTAGAATTTTTTTAAACAAGTTATTTTTTTCATTTCACTTTACCAATTTGGACTATTTTGTGTATGTCCATTACATGAAATCCAAATAAAAATCAATTTAAATTACAGGTTGTAATGCAACAAAATAGGAAAAACGTCAAGGGGGATGAATACTTTTGCAAGGCACTGTACTTGTGGAATACACTGAGTATATAATGACATTTTACATTTTAGTCATTTAGCAGACGCTCTTATCCAGAGCGACTTAACAGTTAGTGAGTGCATACATTTTCATACTGGCCCCCTGTGGGAATCAAACCCACAACCCTGGCGTTGCAAGCGCCACGCTCTACCAACTGATCCACATGGGGCACCTGTATCTTGATGACGCCATTCAACAAGTGGCAGAATAAAATTCTACCTCATCAGTGAATTGAGGGACGTCGCTTTGTTTTGAATGGAGTGAGGGACATTGCTTTGTGGAAGCAGCCTTTGAAACTGGCTGTGATGCTGCTGATTACTGATACCGTCTGTCTCTCTGTGTCTCCAGGTCCCTTCTGGATCTGTGCTACTCTGGTCTTTGTCATCGCCATCTGTGGAAACATCTCTGACTTCCTGGTTTACCTGGGGAATCCCCAGTACAAATACGTCCCAGAGTTCCGGAAAGGTGAGTGTCATTTAAGTTTTTCGAGGGTAAAACAAACACATGATCAAACTGACTCCTCCACTTTCCAAGACTCAGTCAAATAGATACTGAACAAAAAAACGTCCTTTCCCATAAATGTTTTTAGAAAAATAGTGTGATTGTTGCTACTGTATCTGTGTGTGTTTTTATTTCCCAGTGACCATTGCGGCCACGGCGATCTACAGCTATGCGTTGCTGGTTCCCCTGGCCCTGTGGGGCCTGCTGGTCTGGAGGAACGCCAAGGTTATGAACATGGTCTCTTACTCATTCCTGGAGATCGTCTGTGTCTACGGATATTCCCTGGCCGTCTACATACCTGCTGTGGTAAAACATGAGAGATTACACTGTTTCATGTCTGATTGTGTGGCTTTGTTGATATTTTATTAGGTTCAATATTGTCCGATTTACTTTGTTGGAATGCAAATGTTGAGGACATGTTTATTCCAGTCTTTTTTTTTAAATCATGTTGTTGTTGTTACAGGTGTTGTTGTTGACAGGTGTTGTTGTTGACAGGTATTGTGGATCATCCCGTATGAGACCGTCAGGTGGCTTTCCATTGTTGTGGCTCTCTGTCTCTCTGGTTCCGTCCTGGTCTTGACCTTCTGGCCCGCCGTCCGTGACGACCGGCCCCGGGTTGCCATAGCGATCATGACGGCCATCGCGGCGCTCCACATCCTCTTGGCGGTCGGTTGTAAGGTAAACATTCCGGAAAAACACACCTGGGTCGTGTGCATTAGGGCACAGCGTAGCAAAACGTTACTAAACGTTGTGGTGCACCATGGGAAACCAAAATGAGTGTTTCTTATTGGTCAAGTTCAGACCTCTTTCTTCCGTATCGTGCCTGGTGAACACGACACCAGCCTCACGGAGTTGGGTTGTTCCTGGAAATGTAATACAATGTCCTGATTTAACAATCTCCAACCTGACTGACCCAGTTTAGATAACCCCACCTGGCTGCGCTCTGTTAGCTCCAATGGTTGCATCGCCAAATGGGACCCACACAATGACTTAATTAGCTCAGTTACCTCCTCGCTATTCTACTGGAGTCTTGTAGCGTGGCATCTGGCAGAGCGATACACCAGGGAGGGTGGACCTGACCATAGTATCTTTGGCTACACTCCCTCAAGACGGCCATCTTGACAGCGCATGAGAAACAGATTAGAGGAGTCAAGTTAGTTAGTTTACCTCAGGGGGAGGGAGGGAGGGAGGGAGGGGAGGGGAAAGAGGGAGGGAGGGGAAGGAGGGAGGGGAAGGGAAGGAGGGGAGGGGAAAGAGGGAGGAAGGAGGGAGGGAGGGGAGGGGGGAGGGGAAAGAGGGAGGAAGGAGGGAGGGAGGGGAGGGGGGAGGGGGAAGGGAAGGAGGGGAGGGGAAAGAGGGAGGGAGGGGAAGGGAGGGAGGGAGGGAGGGAGGGAGGGGACAGGGAGGGGACGGGAGGGACGGGGCGGGGTGGGGGGACGGGAGGGGAAGGGAAAGGAGGGGAGGGGACAGAGGGAGGGAGGGGAAGATTTGCTGTTTTGGGAGGGAGGGAGGGAGGGAGGGAGGGGAAGGAGGGAGGGAGGGGGGGGGGAGGAAGGGTGGGGAGGGAGGGGGGGCGTGAAGTGGGAGGGACGGGAGGGAGGGGAGGGGAAGGAAAGAGGGAGGGAGGGAGGACGAGGGAGGACAGGGAGGGAGGGGAAGGAAGGAGGGAGGGAGGGAGGGTAGGGGGGAAAGAGGGGAGGGAGGGAGGGGGGGAGGGGGGACGGGAGGGTAGGTGGAGGAGAGAGAGAGCGGGAGGAGGGAGGAGGGAGGAGGGAGGGAAGGGCGGAGGGGAGGGTATGGGAGGGGAGGGAAAGTAGGGGAGGGAGGGAGGGAGGGAGGGGAGGGGAAAGGATGGGGAGGGAGGGAGGGGGGGCAGGGAAGGAGGGGGGGGGAGGGGAAGGGAAGGAGGGGAGGGAGAGGGGGAGGGAGGGAGGGAGGGGAGGGGGGGGAGGGAGGGAGGGAGGGGAGTGGAAGGAGGGAGGGAGGGGAAGGAGGGAGGGAGGGAGGGAGGGGAGTGGAAGGAGGGAGGGAGGGAGGGAGGGAGGGGGGAAGGAGGGAGGGAGGGAGGGGAAGGAGGGAAGGACTTTTTGCACTTTTATTCTATGTTAGTGCACTTAATTTAATGTAACAGGCTTTTAAAATTCCATAATTTCTACTTAAAATATCAAAGGGACGCAAAAGGCACCCATTTCGTGGAATGACCCCCCTACTTACAGAGAGAGATGAGTGACTGAAGGGCTTAATAAAAAAGACTGACAGGAAATTAGTTTAGTCCCAAATGACACCCTATTCCCTATATAGTGCACTACTGTTGACCAGGGTGGCACCCTATTCCCTATATAGTGCACTACTGTTGACCAGGGTGGCATCCTATTCCCTATATAGTGCACTACTGTTGACCAGAGCCCCTGTTCCTCTCTAGCCTGTCGGTCTCGGGTTTTTCCCCAAATCGCACCCTATTCCCTACGGGCCCTGGTCAAAAGTAGTGCACTATATAGGGAATAGGGTGTCATTTGGGACGTTCTCTCAGTATAAATGATTTGCTGTGTTTATTTTCATCCAGGCTTACTTCTTCAGTACGTTGGAGGTTGAACACACTGCTGTTGATGCTGTGGTGGGCAATGTAACCAAGTCATCTCCAACCACAAACGCACTGAACTGATACAATGTCCTGAGGTAAATGGTGGAACTAAAGATGTTTGCATTGTCACCACTGGTGATCTTATATAGCCACTTGTGTAACTAATATAATAATAATAATAATAATAATAATAATATGCCATTTAGCAGATGCTTTTGTCCAAAGCGACTTAGTCATGTGTGCATACATTTAACTAACCTGTAATTAGTACTGAGCGATTAACCAACATTTCTTTTTTGGGAGGGGTTATTAAACAACTAATTGACCGTCGGTTCAATTACTTGAAATCCATTTAGTTCTGTATTTTCTGTGAGCCCAACGTGCTGTTTCTCTAGAGATAAATCAAATAATTAATGAAGAGAAATCAATGAAAGAAGTATGTGGGACGCTGGGCTGATGGGAGTTGTAGTTTTCATAAAGCCAATATTCAGCGTAGTTCAGCGTAGAAACGCGGTAATTAACTACAATGACCATAATCCATTCTGGCAGTTTTTTCCTGCTCTGAGACGAATCAGAGAGTTTTCACTCTCGCCAAAATAAGCCCAATGTGTTTCTATGGGGTTATTTTGGACCTGAGATGTCGCCTGCCTTCCCGCCTTTAGGACAACGACTCTCATTGTTAGGGCGGGGACATGAACATCTGGTCATTATATGTGACCCATTTCAGGAAACTAGGCATATGTCACAAGTCACGACTTCACAGTTTAAATCATAATTGCGTTTTTTGGCAGAAATGCCTTCTGGAACATGTGAACTTTCATGTGCCTTAATAACAAACTTGTATGCCATCTGTAAATACGAATATTTTTTTTTAAATTACGAGCCTTGTTGGTTAAGCCACAGAAAAAGACAGCAACCTTCCCACTAACCATGATTGGCTGAGATAATAACATGCCGAGAGAGTAGTTCGGATTGGTCTGCCATATGATTGGTCTGCCATATGATTGGTCTGCCATATAGACGGTTTCTGTCTTTTTGAGCTGGTCAGTATGTGTAGGTAATCCTGTCAAACGCTGCTTTTTTTTTAAATGTATCGTGTAGTGGAGCTGCATTAGTGTTGCTCTCCACTTTCTGGAGGATCGAGTTTTGAAATCAGTGGAATTAGAGAGTATGATAGCTAAGGAGATGGAGAAAACACCTGTCTCCGGATTACATCTTCAAACTAAGGGCAACCATGGCATCCGTGAGGGAGACACGTCCATCATGCATGATGATGTATACGGTTAAGATAGTCTAGCTAGCTACATTTTCAGATATTACACATTTCGTTTCAAGCTAAAGTGTACTGTTAGCTAGCTAGCTAGCTAGCTAGCTAGCTAGCGTTAGCTGGCTGGCTCCCTAGCTAACGTTATTTGTATGACGTTATTATTCGTATCCCAGAACCGTTTGCTTTGCTAGTTAGAGCCTAATGTTAGCTAGCTAACATTGAACATGGTTGGTTAGCTACCTACAGATTCATACAGGGTAGTAACGACATGATTTGGCACTATGTTCATTGTTGTTTAACTAGCTAACGTTAGCTGGCTGGCTCGTAGGCTAACGTTACGTGACGTGTGTGATCTTACATGTTGTTTACCTAGCTATGTTCAATGTTTACCTTGCTAGCTAGCTACATGTCTTAAGCTAAAGTGTACAACACCCGTTGAATATGGCCGGTGTCAGTAAACGTCGGCATAAAAGCGTAATGAAATTGTTGCCAGCAGAGCTGGTTAGGCTGTTTTCATGTTATCCAGAGGTAAAACGAGATGGGTGGGGCTAAAGCTTAAGAGAGTGTGAACGATGCTGAATGGGTGGAGACAAAGAAGAGCTCTTCACTAGATACCAAAACATTCAAATGCCATTTTCTCAAAAGTGAGTTTACAAGTTCATCAACTTTCAAAGCAGAATTACTTTCCCATTGTTCCTCAAATGCAGTGTATGATATACCATTTTGTAGCTCTGAGTCTCTACTTTTATCCAATGTAAAAAAACACAATTTCAAATGTTGCTACATAAGACCAAATCCAGGTGGTGAGTCACATATACAGATCTCTGGACGGATACACTTTTACCCCTGCTATGTTAGGTTAGAGAAGACCGCATGAGAGAGGAATGTACACAACTCAGCGACAAGGGAGAGAGACAGTTGGTGAAAGTATGCCTTATCTACTCTGAAGAACTAGTACAATGATTTAGTCAGACAGCTTTGCAGCAGTCTTTGGCAGGATAGCTAAATAGGATGACTAAAGACGGGACAGTACGGGGAGCAGCACATAACGTTAGATGGTCTGGCTGGCTGGCTGCTACTGCCTGAGCAGAGATAACGTTAGATGGCCTGGCTGGCTGACTGCTACTGCCTGAGCAGAGATAACGTTAGATGGTCTGGCTGGCTGGCTGCTACTGCCTGAGCAGAGATAACGTTAGATGGTCTGGCTGGCTGGCTGCTACTGCCTGAGCAGAGATAACGTTAGATGGTCTGGGTGGCTGGCTGCTACTGCCTGAGCAGAGATAACGTTAGATGGTCTGGCTGGCTGGCTGCTACAGCCTGAGTAGAGATAACGTTAGATGGTCTGGCTGGCTGGCTGCTACTGCCTGAGCAGAGATAACGTTAGATGGTCTGGCTGGCTGGCTGCTACAGCCTGAGTAGAGATAACGTTAGATGGTCTGGCTGGCTGGCTGCTACTGCCTGAGCAGAGATAACGTTAGATGGTCTGGCTGGCTGGCTGCTACTGCCTGAGCAGAGATAACGTTAGATGGTCTGGCTGGCTGGCTGCTACTGCCTGAGCAGAGATGAGATGATAACTTTAAGGAATGAAAAATAATAAAGTAATCAAATAAAAAATAAAAAATAAGCAACTGAAATATTTTGTTATTTCATAGTAATTTCCTTTGTTTCTGTCCAAAGTGGAACTGACAGAGACAATGGAATATTTTCAATGTTTTGGCAATTAAATGTTCACTATTTTTGGCTTTGGAATTTGCATTAAAAAGCTCTAAAATCGTTTTAACGTAATTATTTCATAATACATTCCATGTTTTTGTTTTTTTAAATCGTCGAAATCCGTGATAAAAAAATAAATAATCGAACCGAAACCGAACTGACCTCAAAAAGCACTAATCGCTCAGCACTTCCTGTTATACACACATGTGAAAAGACTTGTGAATGTATCATGTGTTTTCCCATGCCACTGTACATCCTGTTTACAGGTTTTAGTGGTGTGAGTTACATCCTGTTTTAGCATAAAAACATTTTCTTTATCGTCTTTTCATTTCTTATTTATTTACCACCTTCTGTTGTGCCCAACATCATCTGACACCAGACTTCCTGTCCTGGAAATGATTTATCCTTCCCACAGCGAACAAGTGTTAGTGTTATAATTTTTTAATTGCAGCGTCTCCTGTTCCCTTATTAGGTAGAATCAAGTTCCCGTGGCGACGGTGTCATGGTGTTGTCTTCGTTACCGACCTGCTGCACCGACCTTGCCTGGGTGGGTCTTCCTGTTAAAGCCCGTAAAGACACAGTAATGTGTTACAGCACGACACACACACACAACACACACACACACACACACACAACACACACACACACACACAACACACACACACACACACACACACCTGGGTTGTAATCATTAGGGACCAAACGGAAGAAAATGGACTGAAACAATAAGAAAGGCATATTTGTGTTTTCCGTTGCAAAGCGTTGGACGTTTTTCATGTGTATGTACTAATGAATACGACCCTGGTCCGAAGACCTGGGTTATGTACCAAATGGCACCCTATTCCCTATGTAGTGCACTACTTTAGACCAGAGAATGGCACCCTATTCCCTATATAGTGCACTACTTTAGACCAGAGAATGGCACCCTATTCCCTATATAGTGCACTACTTTAGACCAGAGAATGGTACCCTATTCCATATATAGTACACTACTTTAGACCAGGACCCCTATAATGCACTATATAGTGAATAGGGTGCTATTTGGAACGCTGACTTCTGGAAACAGACACTGGTGGTGGCTACAGAATGTTCTTTCTAAAACGGTTTCTAAACTGTCTGCCTTAATGATACACAACTAAACATGAGTGGTGTTACTGGGGGGAGCCAGTCATTTCCTCCCTTCCTGTTTAACTAGTCATAGTTTTACTGTTAAATATGTGTGTGTATATATATATAGAACTTGATATTGATAAGACACTGTTCACAAAAAACGTCATTTGAAAGACGCTTCTTTGTATTAAAATGTTTTTCTTTGTTACCGAGTCATTACTATCGCATACACTACATTTACAGAAAATACTATATACTACTGTCTTAGTTATTAACTGCCAGAGGTCCAGAAACGGCCAGACCTCTGTCTTAGTTATACACTGCCAGAGGTCCAGAAACGGCCAGACCTCTGTCTTAGTTATTAACTGCCAGAGGTCCAGAAACGGCCAGACCTCTGTCTTAGTTATACACTGCCAGAGGTCCAGAAACGGCCAGACCTCTGTCTTAGTTATACACTGCCAGAGGTCCAGAAACGGCCAGACCTCTGTCTTAGGGGGTGCTATACACATGCTGCTGCTACCGTATTCCTCAATAGTGAAAAGTAAATATAACTAACTTCAGGGCAAAAGGCACTAGCCTAACCATCCAATGGAATGCCAAAGTATTTCAAAGTTTGAAGGGTTATTTAAGCTACTACCTTTGCCATTCAGTTGTTGTAATAATAGCGACACTGACATTTGAAAGCATTGAAATGATGACCATTAGTTATTTTATGGGAAAATGTATAACTCTGTGGTACTAAACAAACGTTGTGCCTTAACGGGTGAAATTAATTTATTGGACATCAAAACACTTTGTAACTCTCTTTCTCTCTGGGCCCTTTTGTTACGATCATACAAGAGTAACGCTTAAAAAAGATCCAAAACACTGAAATACCAAATGATAACCAGTCTGTCTGGTTATTTTTTAGTGGTCTGCTGTTGACAACCATGTTGAAGTAAGCCAGTACATCAGTACAATTTGACTGTTTAAATCATTCAGGGACAGAATGTAACTTAGAGGGAGGGACTAGAGCAATTGCAGTGTCTCAAGGTCAATGTAAGAGAGTGGACACCTAGACATCTACTGATTAAGTGGAGCTTTTGTCCCTTAATGTTTTTAATACGTAGACATTAGTCAATGTCAGATCAGTCAGCCTAACGGGGGTATGTGGTCAGATCAGTCAGCCTAACAGGGGTATGTGGTCAGATCAGTCAGCCTAACAGGGGTATGTGGTCAGATCAGTCAGCCTAACAGGGGTATGTGGTCAGATCAGTCAGCCTAACAGGGGTATGTGGTCAGATCAGTCAGCCTAACAGGGGTATGTGGTCAGATCAGTCAGCCTAACAGGGGTATGTGGTCAGATCAGTCAGCCTAACAGGGGTATGTGGTCAGATCAGTCAGCCTAACAGGGGTATGTGGTCAGATCAGTCAGCCTAACAGGGGTATGTGGTCAGATCAGTCAGCCTAACAGGGGTATGTGGTCAGATCAGTCAGCCTAACAGGGGTATGTGGTCAGATCAGTCAGCCTAACAGGGGTATGTGGTCAGATCAGTCAGCCTAACAGGGGTATGTGGTCAGATCAGTCAGCCTAACAGGGGTATGTGGTCAGATCAGTCAGCCTAACGGGGTATGTGGTCAGATCAGTCAGCCTAACAGGGGTATGTGGTCAGATCAGTCAGCCTAACAGGGGTATGTGGTCAGATCAGTCAGCCTAACAGGGGTATGTGGTCAGATCAGTCAGCCTAACAGGGGTATGTGGTCAGATCAGTCAGCCTAACAGTAAAAGGTTGTGGTGTCTCTGGGAAGGGAACAGATCTACAGTAACATTGTTCCTGTGGCGCCAGGATCAAATACAATGGAAAGTATTCAAAAGTTTACATACACCTTAGCCAAATACATTTAAACTCAGTTTTTCACAATTCCTGACATTTAATCCTAGTAAAAATTCCCTGTCTTAGGTCAGTTAGGATCACCACTTTATTTTAAGAATGTGAAATGTCAGAATAATAGTAGAGAGAATGATTTATTTCAGCTTTTATTTCTTTCATCACATTCCCAGTGGGTCAGAAGTTTACATACACTCAATTAGTATTTGGTAGCATTGCCTTGTCAAACGTTTCGGGTAGCCTTCCACAAGCTTCCCACAATAAGTTGGGTGAATTTTGGCCCATTCGTCCTGACAGAGCTGGTGTAACTGAGTCAGGTTTGTAGGCCTCCTTGCTCACACACCCTTTAGCAGTTCTGCCCACACATTTTCTATAGGATTGAGGTCAGGGCTTTGTGATGGCCACTCCAATACCTTGACTTTGTTGTCCTTAAGCCATTTTGCCACAACTTTGGAAGTATGCTTAGGGTCATTTTCCATTTGGAAGACCCATTTGCGACCAAGTTTTAACTTCCTGACTGATGTCTTGAGATGTTGCTTCAATATATCCACATAATTTTCCTTCCTCATGATGCCATCTATTTTGTGAAGTGCACCAGTCCCTCCTGCAGCAAAGCACCCCCCCCAGCATGATGCTGCCACCCCCGTGCTTCACGGTTGGGATGGTGTTCTTCGGCTTGCAAGCACCCCCTTCTTCCTCCAAACATATCAATGGTCATTATGGCCAAACAGTTCTATTTTTGTTTAATCAGACCAGAGGACATTTCTCCAAAAAGTACGATCTTTGTCCCCATGTGCAGTTGCAAACCGTAGTCTGGCTTTTTTATGGCGGTTTTGGAGCAGTGGCTTCTTCCTTGCTGAGCGGCCTTTCAGGTTATGTCGATATAGGACTTGTTTTACTGTGGATATAGATACTTTTGTACCTGTTTCTTCCAGCATCTTCACAAGGTCCTTTGCTGTTGTTCTAGGATTGATTTGCACTTTTTGCACCAAAGTACGTTCATCTCTAGGAGACAGAACGCGTCTCCTTCCTGAGCGGGATTGTCACGCCCTGACTCAGGGGACTCTGATATGTTGAGTCAGGGTGTGTATATTCTTTGTTTGTATATATTCTATGTTGTAGATCTATTATGTGTAGATCTATGTTGGCCGGGGTGGTTCCCAATCAGAGGCAGCTGTCGCTCATTGTCTCTGATTGGGGACCATACTTAGGCAGCCTTTTGGCACTAGTGGGTTGTGGGATCTTGTTCCGTTTAAGGTTTGTTGTGTGTTACCTTAGGGCTTCACGTGTCGTTGGTTTATTCGTTATAATAAACATGTTTGCATATCACGCTGCGCCTTGGTCCGTCCCGTCCGTCAACGAGCGTGACAGAAGATCCCCCCAGACCTGGACCAGACCTGGACCAAGCAGTGTGCCGAGGAGGAGCAGAGAGGATGGACTTGGCAGGAGATAAGAGAGGATCTGGCAAGGAAGATGGAGGCCCTGAAAGGGATCAGGGTGGAGAGGCAACCCCAAGAACATTTTGGTGGGGGCACACGGTGTGGACGACGAGCCAGCAGGAGGCCGTGATAGGGTGGATCTGCTGGTTAGGAGAGGAGGCCACCAGATTACGGGGGCTATTGGTTCAGAGGGAGCAGGAGGTATTTGGTCAGAGGGAGGCGCTACAGGAGGCTATACTACCACAGATACTATACACTACCACATATACTATACACTACCACAGATACTATACACTACCACATATACTATACACTAACCACAGAACTATACACTACCACAGATACTATACACTACCACAGATACTATACACTACCACAGATACTATACACTACCACAGATACTATACACTACCACATATACTATACACTACCACAGATACATAACTACACAGTACACATAACATACTACCACAGTACTATACACTACCACAGATACCACATATACTAACACTACCACAGATACATACACAAACCATTATACACTACCACAGATACATAAATACCACTACACATATATACACTACCACAATACTATACACAACCAGATACTATACACTAACCACAGATACATACACTACCACAGAACTATACACTACCACATATATACACCACCACAGATACTATACACTACCACAGATACTATACACTACCACAATCATACACTACCACAGATACACACATAACCACAGATACATACACTACCACAGATACTATACACTACCACAATATATTACACTACCACAGATACTATACACTACCACATACTAACATACACAATACTAACACTACCACAGATACTATACACTACCACAATACTTACATACCACATATACAACACTACCACATACAGTACACTACAACCACAACTAATAACCACATATACACAACCACAGATACTATACACTACCACAGATACATTACACTACCACAGTATATACACTACCACAATACTATACACTACCACAGATACTATACACTACCACAGATATACATACCACAATAATACATACACAGATACTATACACTACCACAATACTATACACTACCACAGATACTATACACTAACCACAGATACATACACTAACCACAGATACTAACACTACCACAGATACAACACTACCACAGACTTACACTACCACAGATACTAACACTACCAC